ATGTTCAATTTAAAGGCATTTTTGAAGGACAAATTGTCTTATTTTCTACATTTAATGATGAGAATTTAAATTATAAGAAATAAATTTAATAGCTACCCAATATATACTTGTATAACCTGGGTTAGAACAGATTATTCTTTTTTTAATAAAGCGTAAATTGCCCCAACCGAGGTTGTACAGTATAACTTGGGTAGCTATTAAATTTATTCCTTAAATAGGTTGAATCCGTACTATGCATGATTCAGTCACGTTTAAGATAGATTTTCTAAGTTTTGCTCCATTGCAAAAGACTATTCCCCCACCCCTCCCAGTACATGTTTTGTTTGTTTTGATATTGTTGCTTTATATGAGCCCTTTTCTTATGTAGAATGATATTTATATTTGAATAAGAAATCGAATTAAAGATTGCTTTGTATACTGTATTCACTTCATTAAAGTCTGTTGCACTCGCGCATGCGAGCTCATCCTATATAAAAGTGTTTTGAGTTTTAATTCATAAATAATTTATGTTCGGTTGAACTGGTGAATTAAAACATAATAATGTGATATTAATAAGTTACAATCAAACAGAGAGACTTCTATTAAGAAAATATTTATTTATTTGACTACATTATTAAAAATTGCATAAACTTGGCTGCAAGAGTAGCAATCAACAATGAGATAAAGCAATGCGTATGTTCCTTTTATTTATATCAGGCAAATTGAGAATGACTCGAATTTTGAAATTACTTAGTTGGAAAAACATTACTCCTCTTTCTGGAAGAGAAAAAAGTAGCCCAAAGAACAACTCATTATTTTGTTTTATTTTTTTTCAACAGTATTTTTGTAAAATATAAATAGAAAAATATCAAAAGGCAAAAATGCACATATACAATTGAGAAATATTTAATCACGAGATGAATATAATCAATCAATTAATCCATGAAATAGTGTCTGTTCCTAAAATGAAACATTTTACCAAAAAATGTAAATGACAAAAAATGTTCATTGGAGGGTACATAAATGGATGGAAAGTGGAGGCCTACTTAGCTGACATCATTCTGACGAACTCTGAAAAAAAGAATTTCAATTGATTCAATGATTCAAAAAAAAAGTTGTACAGCTCGCCCTCTCTCTCTCTCTCTCTCTCTCTCTCTCTCTCTCTCTCTATATATATATATATATATATATATATATATATATATATTATCCACCTCGTCGATAACAATAGGTAACAACAGCCTTTGAATGAATATAAAAATACCTGATTTTGAGGTGACAATAGGTCAATATGAAATTTTTATCAAATTAATTTATGAATTGATATACACATGAAAATTTTGATTTAATGGTAAACCTTCGTAGTTGACTTGACCATCTCCGTCAATATCAGCCTCCCTGATCATCTCATCTACCTCTTCGTCTGTTAGTTTTTCACCTAAATTTGTCATCACGTGACGTAACTCAGCAGCACTAATGAATCCATTTCCGTCCTTATCGAACACACGGAAAGCTTCTTTCAGTTCTTCTTCAGAATCGGTGTCCTTCATTTTTCTGGCCATCATCGTGAGGAATTCTGGGAAATCGATGGTTCCATTTCCTGTTAAAAAAAAATACACGTTATAAACAAACAATAAAAGTGCATTCTCTAATTGTCATCATTTTTTTTCAGTGATTTATATTTACCATCAGCATCTACTTCGTTGATCATGTCTTGAAGTTCTGCCTCTGTAGGATTCTGACCCAGTGACCTCATCACGGTGCCAAGTTCTTTCGTTGTAATGGTTCCATCCCCATCTTTATCAAAAAGACTGAAAGCTTCCTTGAATTCTGAAATGATTATTCAGATTTGAATTTTCCAGTATTTGAGTAATACTTACGTCAGTAAGCTAGTTATCTTTTACACGTACTAACAAGTACTTAATCAGGGTAAGTTTTGCATGAATCAATTTCGTTTCAACTTCAAAACACAATAAATGCATGTATAAAATTATATACAAAAGTCAACCTACATGTACTTAAAAGATCAATCACTTAACTTATTGTCGTGTTTTCATTCCCTATATTAAATCTTAAATGTAGATGATAAATAATGAAATGGAGAGGAACATTTAGCTAAATAATATCAATAGAATTTATTGGTGTTTTCAAACTGCATAGTGGTGCAATGTGGGCATTGTGGAGGTAAATACAGAGCTTTGTATTCGTAGTAATTAAATAATCAAAGAACATTAATATTTATTGGATCTCGATTTCCTTTAAGGTAACAGTCAGGAAGATTCTTGACAAAGTATATTCATAAAAGGCTTGAACATTATTTTATGTCATGCTTTTCACATAAACAAAAAAAAAATTGAAGTACATTGAAATGTAAAAATGTTATTCCCTCTGAAATATGTTTCGTAATAAACATACCAGCTATTTGTTCTTCTGAGAGTTGATCTGCCTGGAAAAAAGTTAATGGTTCAGTGTGAAGTAAATAAGCAGCCTTATTGATAACTATTCAAGGTTCATGGTTACAAATAGAACACAATTGTTTTATGTGTGCTATTGTAGAGCTAAATGTTCTGAAATGTTAAAATTCTACGTGTTCATATCTGCATTGTTCAAACATTGAGATACTTTTTAGAATTCAATTTCAAAGGATGTTTATTTCGATAAAATAAGGATAAATCTTAAAGCGCAAGGTTAAAAAATGTACTTGTAGGAAGAGGGCAACGAAAAATGAAAGTACTTGTACAGTTATTAGAAACGCTATACACTATTCCTTTTCTATCCTCCATCTAACTATATGTATGATTTCTACATAACATTTTTAAAAGAAAAAAAAAAGACATCTGTAATATCGATACTTTATTAAAAAGCTTACCATTCTATGTGACTAAATCCTCAGTGTGCAAACGTGAAATGTTGTTATCTTCGTGTATAACGATCCCGTCACGCTAGCCACATGCAAAGAGACACCTCTTTCTTTCAAAATTTAACGACCTTAAAATTTAAAAATCCACCCCGCTGTTCGTAGCGTAATAGAATTTTGAGTAAAGTAATACACAGGTGGTTATCAAAGTGCAGTTTACAGTTCTGTTTATTTGGAGACATTGTTGACTGTTCATCTCTGGAAATCTATAGTGACATGCCGCAATGCGACATTTAAACATGGATATTTTTAAAAGCTGAAATAGAATCAATGGGCAATAGAGATCAATTATCAGATATATTGATATCTCGAATTTATCTATTCTCACAATCTCATAAATATATATTAATATCTCAAAATTACTCTATTCTCACAATCTCAGAAATATGTATAAATATCTCAAAATTGTTCTCACAATCTCAGGAATATATATTAATATCTCAGAATTACTCTATTTTCACGATCTCGGGGATATTATTACATGTAATATTTTCTATAGGCAAACAAGTTTTTATGTGATGCAGCTTTGATAACAGAGGATTACTCCCGATGAATTAGTTTATAATGGAATTATTCCCTTGTAGTCAGTTTTCTATAATTATCGATATAGTTGATTTCTTTTGATGATGAAGTATGTTAGTTGTTTATTTTTAATATTAAGATGATGGAGTAATATACACATGTATCTGATTTGTTTAATGATATAGTATGATGATGGAGAGATTGTTAGATGATGGAACAGTATATCTGGGTATAATGTGTTAATTAGTCAGTGAATAATCCTACTGTATTCACACAAGGTCCTTTAAATACGCATTAAATCTCGAAAAGTCGGTAGCTCGATCTGAGAGGACTTTCTGGGTGGTTCTCGAGAGTTGTATTGTAGATCTGTCGGCAATTTAACGTAAAAAAATTAAGTATGCAGTCTGCTAATTTAAATGTTGTTTAATCCCAACCCATAAACTTTGTTTCTTCAAGTTTATTTATATAGAATAGCTAAATTTTATATGTAATATTTCATAGTTAAATAGTGTGTGCAAATTCAGTGCAGTGAATCCCCAATTAATCACCTTTCACGTGTCGCGTTCCTCTGTTTACATGTAACTACTTCTAATCAATTATTGACTTTAAACTAGTAATAGTGTGTTATCAGATAAACCCACTGTTTTCAGTTTGGTGTACTTAATGTTTCGCAATTAACAATTTACAATTATTAACAGACCGGTGTAATGCATACCATTCTAACTATATGAAAAGTTATTGTATAGAATAATAGAAGTTATTGTATAGAATAATAGGTTATGAGTGTAATTTATACACGTGTCGATTTCTATCGTAAATCCTGGGGGCTAGATACTTTCTTGTTAAACTGTAAGTAAATATTGCTTTAGTGACTTGTCGCATTGCGGACAATCTTACTAGTAGCCTTAATCTATTGTAGGTCATGTAGGTCCGGCAAGGAAAGTAAATGAAATTTAAGTGATTAGAATTTGAGTGAAATTTTAGAGAGCAAACTTTATTTGAACCTCTTTTGCATTGTTGACAATTAACCAATCATCTTCGGTCTGAATTCAGAGATAATTAACTCACGACAAAGGAGAATAACGTTTATCAATTTATCATAAATTACATATATGATGAGTATTTGTATACAGCAGGTGCTTGTACCAAACATTGTGATGTTGTTTATAAATCAGTTCTAATAGTTTCCAGAATATTAGAATATACTTATCAATTTTGCTAAGATATTTCAACAATGCAGATGTATTTATATTATACACGCTATATAAATCTAAGGCCTACTGGGTAGCTTTTGATCAATATGTTCTTTTAAGCTGTTCATTAATTTTAAAACTTTTTTGAAGCCAAGTTGCTCTTCCAGTTACACAAGTTGCTTATGGAGCAGTGGTTTTGGAATCTTATCTAAATCATTAATATGTTAATATAATACAGTTTACTGCGTAAATCTTCACATAGAGTTTTTTAAATGTTTGTGTATAACGATAGGTGTATAAAATAAGCAAATTCAATCAATATTCCTTTTTTGTCAGTCAAAAGATCTTTCCTCCACCTTCAATTCTATTGGAAAAACAAAACACAAATAGTTGTCAACAGATTTTATTCAACAATACAAATAAGTTTTATATAAAATATGCCAGTTTCAGATCACAACAAAAAATGTTTGTAAAATGTCAGTGTATGCATCTGTCCTGGAAGGGTATGAAAAATATCACAATTATGAATATGTATGAAATGATTTTGAATGGACACCCGGATGTGAACTTTCAGGTTAAAGACTCCATTGTCAAGTTTTTCTCATTAAGGATATTTCCCTTTCTTTACTTGCTTGTCATCATTCTTACGAATTCTGCAGAAAAATATAAAGATATAGATATATAGATATTTATATATATTAAAATCAACATTTAACTCGCTGTATATCTGAGTTTCCTAGTTATGACCGCGTTAATTACAGGTGCAAAACAGATCAAAGAAAAAGTAAGAATTGTTTTACCAATATTTACCACTCTACATTTTAAAGATTTTTGAATAAATGGTGTCTAAAATTATCAAAAATATGAAATTTTGTATTAGATTACGTACCTTCATAGTTAACCTGTCCATCACCGTCCAAATCAGCCTCCCTGATCATCTCATCAACCTCTTCGTCTGTTAGTTTTTCACCTAAATTTGTCATCACGTGACGTAACTCTGCAGCACTAATGAATCCATTTCCGTCCTTATCAAAGACTCGGAAAGCTTCACGGAGTTCCTCCTCGGAATCCGAATCCTTCATTTTCTTAGCCATCATGGTAAGGAATTCTGGGAAATCGATGGTTCCGTTTCCTATGCAAAATTAGATACTATATCATGTATATGCTATTAAATGAATTTCAGAATTTATGATATTGGCTTGGGAAGATTTCAGAAATTAGCAGAATTGATTAGAAAAGTTTATGATTTACCATCAGCATCTACTTCGTTGATCATGTCTTGAAGTTCTGCCTCTGTAGGATTCTGACCCAGTGACCTCATCACGGTGCCAAGTTCTTTCGTTGTAATGGTTCCATCCCCATCTTTATCAAAAAGACTGAAAGCCTCTTTGAATTCTGCAATTCAATAAAAGTAAATCAGACTAATTTGCTCCAGTTAATCGTGTCATTATTACCCATAAAGTTTTAAAATGGAATTACTATTGAGCACAATGATTTCATATTTAAGAAGGTGCTTACCGGCAATTTGTTCTTCTGAGAGTTGATCAGCCTATAAAAGAAAATATGTTAAATAGACTATATTAAAAAAAATGGCAGTTTTAAAGAACTCCGAGTTTGATTTTTATATGGCACCCAAATATAACAAATGATTAAATCGGTATTTGAAATTTTAAAACTTAAAGTGGTTTCGAACATTGTGGTATAGAATTTATGTTGTATCCAATAGAAAACTCTAATCCTTATGATCCTGGCACATGTATACAACTTATTACAGGTTGTCCATTTAGTGCAGATTTCCGCTCAAACATCCTTTATTACTGACCGTACCCAGCTTTTAGTCACACTAGATACAAATGGACCACCCCCTACTGCTTCACCCAAAGAATCAGGACATTTATAGTTTTATTACAGATTGCTAACATTTATAGTTTTATTACAGATTGCTAACATTTATAGTTTTATTATAGATTGCTAACATTTATTTACTATAGACAGGATACAAGATGTCATTTTTTAAAAGCAGTAATAGTGTTATGTTTTAATACTTGTACATGTGCTTATATTATGTTGTCCCCTATTTATTTATGACGCAATTTCAAATTGATGCCTCGATCAAATAAAATTTGAATTATCTATATGTATAAAGTCATTTAGATGATACGATTATAACATATCCTTACGCGTATATATTTCAAGTTGTTCAAAAAAAATAACAAGAAACTGTGATTTAAATGTGAAAATTGAACCACAAAACGCAGTTTCTGCAAGTTCAAACATTCAAAGAAGGTGGTATTCTTATTCTTAGTCATGTTTTAGGCAGTAATTTACTAAAGAAAAAAGTGACATAAGATTACTATATTATATAATATGTCGGAAACTGTCCCACACTCGCTATCCAACTAAAAAATAATTTCCTTAGAATATTTTCACATACTTTTTTTTTAAATCATTTATGTATAAATGAAACCATTCATGTATGAAGCAGCAGGTATTTGCCATATGAATAAGAAATACAACACTATTGAATCGTTTGACGGAGGTACATTACATAAACTGCATACATTTTATTATAAAGAGAAAATATTTAAAAATTGCATTTTAATTAGATACACATATATCATATGTATACGTCCGTTGCATTTTCATGTTGATCATGGCATGACCAAATTAAAAAAAATGCCTGTGTTGTTTTTACAATATATTTTCACTTTTTTAAAGAAAATGCATTATGACTAGCGCATTGATCTAGTTCATGAATAAAAATATGTCACAATACTTATAGTCTTCGGGTAAAAAAGCATGTCAGTCATCTGGTGAAGATACCAACACGGAGAATTCAGAGTCTCCTAGTTCAGCGGCACAATGTGTACATTTTTTCTTGAAAATTGGCTTTTAAAAAATTCTTTTAGTACGTTCTTAGGTAAATTAAACATATTCAAAATGCATCAAAATGAATCATTTCTGAAAATCATGAAAGATACATACCATGACTGCTCGCTTCTACTGCTCTTGCTTGAGTGGTAAACTAGGGACCAAGTCGTCCAGTGTTTAACAGTAAAACTGGTCAATGCAAGCCCCGGCCCGCCAAACAAAAGCAGATTTAAAATATTTTCTCAAAGGTTTAATCATACAGAGATAAGTACGTAGGGGAATAAAACAGGCCAACTTTTCAATGGGTCTTTGTTACCAGTAGCAATAGCTCTAATCAATGACCTATCGATAAATTGGCAGTTTCAAAAGCCGATTACGACATGTTTTCGTGATGCAATAATCAACAAATTAGGGGGCTAATTAAAAATTGTTTAATTTGTGTTGATTATTTGAAGATACATTAATACGGGGTTTTATTAATGCATATTTTCCACAAGGAATAGGCATTTTAAACAATTAACATGGACAAAATTTAAAAAAAAAATTATAATGACAATTTTAGATTTTAAAAGCAATTCTAATTATATAAAATTTATTCAGTCATAACGCGTTCGGGAAGGATTAAGATCGACAGCAAATTCCATAGCAATTTGTCGCAGTGCGACAGACAATAAACATTTTTTTTTAAAAATACGTTTTATCTTAAGAAAGGGTATAGAGTGACATATAGGATAGTTCATCTTCAGTTTCGTAAAAACAAAGAGGAAAAAAAATTGCATATTTTTCAATCAGCTTCCAATTTCGGAAGTAAAAATTAATCGATATTGCTTTCCAAGAACATATTTGTCATTAACAGTAGTTTTAGTATATTATACATGTAAATATTGCACTGTGCCTAAAGTGGTGAAAACTTGTTTCAATGATAGAAAATGGTAAATAAATTTATTAAAACGTAGTATTTTATTTGTTTCATCTCTTGGAAAGAGGCGGGGGGGGGGGGGGGGGGAGGGGGGTTACAAGAGTTGTGACTTCAGGTACATGTGTATTATATTTTTCCTGACTCCAGCAAGTTACATTACTGGTCATTTGACACAATGATATATTGTTTTAAATACACAGGATACTAAAAAAAAGTCACAGAAATTTATTGAACATTTTGTACGACCTTATAATAGCTAAAACGCATATCACATATTTCAAACTAAGCTTTTCTATAAGGCCATATAAAGCCATCAAAGCTATTGTATACTATATATAAGAATATAATTGTAGAAAAATTGCTTCAGCCATCAGATTAACTGTGACTTTTTCTTAAAAAAAATACACCAGATGAACTATCAAGCAATCGCACAACAATGCAAATTAATCATAAATAAATGAAAAGCATTCATTTCCAGAAAATCTATTAAAATTTATTTACAGGTTTCGAATTTTTTTCTTCGTGTTTTTGCATTGAATTTCAATATACTGAATGTACATGTATATATATGAAAGTGTAGACTTAGGGGGAATGTTCAGATAAGGAGAACTTTATAGGATATCGTGATAAAGTTTTAGCAATATTAATTAAAGTCTTTACGAAGTGTTTTACCAATATCCTTTATCCTTACGAAAATCGCACGATTGGATGTTACATAACTGTTTTGCACATGTACCCTTACCCTAATTTGAACTCTTACAGGGTACATGTGGACGTCAAAAAGGAAGAGAATATCAGCGACAAGCTGATTCAATGAATAGAAATTAAAATACAACCCTTAGGTCAAAGCAGACGGATTGTGATAAGGCGCTATGGAGATTTGTCGCATTGCGGATCTTACCGAGAGAAAATTTTGTCGCATTGCGGCGAAAGTTAAAGGTAAGGGTGGGTCATTGCACAGGTAAACAAAGCCCACCAGGGCACATGAACACTTTAAACGTGTCAAAGTTCTGTGTTTTACATTTTAAATAAACGGTGTTATCCAATATAAGATCGAACGAAATACAACATAACTCAATTTATAAAGTATTAATTCTTAAAAGATTGAAAAAAGAGTTTAAAAAACGTGAATTTTAAGTAATATTGCTGTTTTTCTAGCGACAATCCCCTGACAATAACTGCAATCTCGCCAACCCCTAGTACATAATTTGTAAGTTATTAATTGAAACACTAATCAGGTCTAGCCGCCGTAAAATTTCGAAAAATTCCTAAAGCAATATTGGCTGTATTTTTGTGAATTTTGTTGAAAAAATCTGCTATTATTCTAATTCTGTATATAACTTGAACCTTATCACAAAGCTTTCAATTTTATCATAGGAAAGGTTTTATTAGTATTATATTAGAAATAATTTTTGTACGGGACAATATAAATAAAATGTTCTTGCAATCACACCTTCTAAATACTTTTCCAATGCAAATATGCATAGTACACGTTTATAAACCTTCATTTTCTTCTAAAACTGAATATTAAATTACAATTTTTCAACTGAAAATTTCGAACTTAGGAGTTAAGGCTGAGGACAGTAGAGTTGAAGCTGAGAACTGAGGAGTTGAGTCTGGTAACTGAGGAGTTGAGTCTGGGAACTGAGGAGTTGAGTCTGGGAACTGAGGAGTTGAGTCTGGGAACTGAGGAGATGAGTCTGGGAACTGAGGAGTTGAGTCTGGGAACTTAGGAGTTGAGGCTGAGAACAGTAGAGTTGAGGCTGAGAACTGAGGAGTTGAGTCTGGGAACTGAGGATATGAGTCTGGGAACTGAGGAGTTGAGTCTGGGAACTTAGGAGTTGAGGCTGAGAACAGTAGAGTTGGGGCTGAGAACTTAGGAGTTGAGTCTGATAACTGAGGAGTTGAGTCTGGGAAATCAGGAGTTGAGGCTGAGAACAGTAGAGTTGAGTTTGATAATCTATAGGACTTGGGGATGAAAACTTGGGAGTCGAGGCTAAGAACCAAGGAGTTGAGTCTGAGAACTGAGGAGTTGAGCATTCGATAAATTATAGACCATTAATTCAAGACATTAGTCCCAAGTTTGATTTTTACTATTTATCAAGAGTATTTTAGAAACATTAATATAATTTACTGGTGTAGTAAACATTCTCGCTAAAATCTACATAATATGTAGATTCGATAAGGATGTTTAATGTTGTTGATTCCATTTACAGTTTTAAAAAAATGATACCGTTGACGGTTAGCACATGAAACAATACAACACATTTGTGTTATAACATCAATATACATATTTATTACATTCATGTACTTGGTAATAAATACATGTTTTTGTATACTAGTACATGCAATATACCTGACATCATATCATTATTCTCTATATATTTAAGCGTAAATAATATGCCCACTCATTTCGGAAGTTTCACTTTCCATGTAAGAAGATTCCTAAGGTATTTTGAGGTTTGATTAACTCAGTAACAGGTCCTGCTTCTTCTGTTTATATGTTTGTTTGTTTTTTTTTAATTTAAATATGTAAACGCATTCATTAAGATAGAAGCATAACAGCATATGAAAGACTTGGACGATGAAGGTAATTTCTGACTTTAAAATATTCATCTTAGTTTGGCACTTTCAGCACACCGGTGAAGAGGAGTAACTCTTGTTCCATCTCATAGCAGGGGGAAGGAAGTCTGGATCCGGTTGTCGTTACTGAGTTAAAGTCTTCAGAGAGTTATTAAACGTGTTTTCGTGCACATACCAAATTACATCCTCGCTGTCAACAATTTCACAAAATCTATGACAGAAATAAAACATAATTTTAAAAATGAATATGGAATAAAGTCTCCATGCCAATAGGCATGACATTGTCGAAGGCTCAGATCCTAAGACATGCATGTCTAAATGATTCTCATCTACGAAAGTATACAGAATCAACTGATTATCTACGATTCCAAACTCAAGTATTTTAACGCCCATGTACTCGCTTCAAGGGCATTTTACTTTTATTACATTTTATAAATTATATTTAAAAAGTAGTACATTCAATCATTGTTATCAACAACCAGATATTGTCCACAGTTTTAAAACATGATTAAACATTTAAGAGATCTCCTTTCCAAAGCCATAGCGTAAAGATTCCTAAATGTGGAGAAATGTTGTACATTTTTTTTAGAAATAAGGTATAGTTTTTAAACTTTTATCGAGGTGTAAAAATCGGGTTGGTAACGTGATCAAATCTGATAAAACCCGAAGGGCTTTATGGTAGATTTGATCACGTAACAACCCGTATTTGCATCCAGATAAATGTTTAAAAATGATACCATATTACTTACCCGTATAAACTCACCTATAAGTCGGTTTTGGGGAGTTAAATTATGATTCAAAACTCTATGTCCTATACTTATAGGCGAGTCATAAAATGATAAGCATTTTTTTCTTGAAGGCAAAATGTATTATTTTAAAAACATTTCGGGCTGTTATCGTTGACAGAAATTTGGACACTCTAAGATTATGCATAGAGTACAAGTATTTACATATTTCAATGATTTTATTTTTATCTTTGTCATTTTAATTGTGCATTATTACCGTCTTCCTTGGAAAACAGTATACAGAGTTGAAATATTTTACAATCTTTTGATTGTACACTTCCTCTGTTCTGTGACTGATAAAAATGCATAATGAAAATTTCAGTTATTTCATAGGTTGAATGTTGTGCTAGGCAAAGGATTAAATTTTCTAGTGATCTAATTTTTGTAGACTTAACAGTTTTTCAATCTCAAAAAAATCGACAAAACGAACAAAAGAAAATTGCAGTAAACCAAACTGACACTCTAATTTTTTATAGTAACTATTATTAAGTTTTTCAATATTTTCATGATTAACAGAAAATTATTTTTCTGCATGCAAACATTGAGATGTGTGTTTCTTTTTCAAGTAAAATGAATAAAACCAGAGACCTCGGAATGGAATACTCGGAAGTCTCTGAATTTATCCTACATTTATTACCCCAACCGGAAGCTTTGTATCCCAAAGTCTTGTTATGTATCGAGATAATTTTCGAGAAATAAATCACAGGCACTTGTTTCTGTAATAAATTTTGGACCCATAGTATAATAATAACACAAGGTATCCAACTCCGTATTACACGGAGTACCCCCTCCCTCAGAATCGCACTCATTAACACTTTCAGAGGACATGCACTGGCAAACTGTTTATACCTATGTCTTCTACGATAATTTATCTACACAACCATATATGGCATGCGTGTCTTAATTTTCTTTTATCCCCGTAAACAGCGTCAAAACTCTGCTCGCCGAGTGGAAGAGTCGAACTCAACCATGAAATGGGATGTGCTAATCCCGGGCAGAGAGCAAAATTAAAAAAAAATGAGTGAGTTTAAAAATTCAATTCCAGTGTTTAAATATTGCAGTGACTAAATAAAATTTGTTTACCTCTCATTTTCCATTAAAGCACTACGATATTTTTCCGATGTAATTTTAAAAACAGATCTTTAGCCAATCAAAATCTCTGCCCGGGATTAGCACATACAATTTCATGGTTGAGTTCGAGGGGGGTACTCCGTGTAATACGGAGTTGAATACCTTGAGTTATTATTATACTATGGGTCAAATTTTTTTCACAGAAACAAGTGCCTGTGGAATAAATGAGTGGTTTACAATAAAGAGGCTCGACCGACTGAACTACCATACGTGACGGTGGGGGTGCCTGGAATTGAGTTAGATACCTTGTGGTAAAAGTAAGTAGGGGGTGCCCCGTATACGAAACAAGTGCCTGTGAGCACAACGCCAGGATCTACAGTACAAAAAAATAATACGGCCTGATACGTGTATCATTGTCAGTTTACAGTTTAGGGTTGTTGCTAAGACGACAAAGCTTTTGAAAAAATTTGCTTATTGTTAATTATATATATGACCATTCCTTTCAGTAACTTGTGACTTCGTTTATCGGTTAACTTGAATTGCGAACCCGATACGTGTATAATGCCGATGAGCATTGATGAATAATAATGAAATATTCATACACATGTACCGTCGAAAAATATATTTAATAACAGTTTTAATACTGTTAAAAATATTTCAGAATATAATTCTAAACTCTTTTTGAAACTCGATTGTTATTTGAAAAAGGGGAAAACTGCGAAACTTGACAACTAAACAATTTAATCATTAAATATGTATCTTAGTTATCATGTATTTCAAAGATTTTTTCATATTTTACACGTATCAAGTACTCTAATTATTTCGGCTTAAACTTATGATTCACAAATCGAATTCGGCAAATCGAATCGAATATTCCTCATGCTGGGAAATTCAAACCTTATTTTTATTTCTTTATTACTCCAAACACGACAACAGCGCACCGTCTTGCATTTCAGTCACTATGTATCATCCATATTAATTCCTTGCTTTTGAAGAAATGGATTAATATTTAATTATTCGTGATTTTAGAATCTCTATGTAAATTTAGTTACTAGTAGTTTTTTTTTTTATCCCAAAGCCACACTTTTTCCTCGCAATAATTTACCTTTTGCCCATTACATTGTACAAACAGCTTTTAGTCATTTAGAAGCAAAAATCTTGTCAGATAAGTAACATTGTATTTTAAATGAGAAAATATGCAAGTAAACGTATAAAAAAAACCTTAAGTTTAACCTTACTTAAGCACGGTAATAATTCTTTTGTTCGATATTAAGGTAAGTATATTTCTTGTGTCTTTACCTTCAAAACACAAATCACCATTGCCCTTTGTGTCAAACTGCTTCACAAGCTCAAAAGCGTGTTCCTCGTCAAATGAAGGTTCAAATTCTGCCATAAACTCACATAAAGCTTGTGGGGTTACGCTTCCTGTTCCGGTTTTGTCGAGTACTCGGAACACCTCGTGAAATTCAAAGTCTTTCTCGTCTTTCTTACTAAATGGGCCCTTGTGGCTGTTCATAACTGACACAAATTTCTCCAGAGTAACTAATCCATTGCCTAGATTTTTAAATGAATGTAAATCAAAGTAAAAATGCATTTTGGTTATCCCTCTCTTACCAAAAAAAAAAAATGCATAAATAATTTTGTTTCTTAAATTATTATTGTTGAGCACCAATCGACAATCCTCGACTGACTCCACTACACTCCATACAAACCTCGGATGTTATTGGTGGAGGAATATGCATCAAACCAATGCATTTCTCCGCCGGAACTGCCTTTTAACTCATTTCATAATTTGCACTGCATGAAGTTCTCTTTAAAAAGTGTCCTATCTTGTCTAATTGATTACAAACTTATGTTAGTTGTATTTGAAAGCTGAAACCTAGTGTTGGTGTGCTACAAAGTAAGTCAGATAGATAGATTTCAAAGGAATATTTGAAGTTATTCCGGATTTGATCACATGATTGTATTAGCAAAATGATTGAACACCGTACACGTTCGAGGTGAGTGTGCGAGGCATGAGCCACGGGAGGAGCTCCGAGTGGTTTAGTTTATAACAAAACATTGCATTAAACACAACGTTAATAAGTTCTATTCCACGAAGCAATAGGCATTTTCTACATCTTATCCCCATGTTATTTATAACATATAGATATGCATTCACTAAAAATCATTTAGTGAATCACCCATAGCTTCAAAGAGTGATTTTATTTTCATACTAGTATATAACAAACGGGTTGACAATTCATTTTGTAATAATACAATAAAATTAAAAAAGAACAAACTATTATATGCTGCAGTAGTATAGGGATACATGTATACCTTTCTTGTCAAATTCCGCTATCACATCTTGTAATTCTCCTTCAGTGGACACAATATCGTAGGAGAGCAGAACTTGTCTGATATCATTCGATGACAAGTAGCCATCTTTGTCTGCATCGAACTTGTCGAATATTACTTTATAATCTTGAAAACGAATAATAAAAATTGTGTCTTCACTTTAAGTTGGATCTGTTGCTCAGTTAAGACACGCACATAAATATATAAAAAAGAAAATAGATAGAAAAGAAATCTACTAAATAAACATTAAAAATAACCAATAATTTAGAACCATCTCGATATAATTAATGATTTACAAACGAATTCTTATCATTTTTTTTTTTTTTTACAATAAATAATGACGATATGTTTAATAGTTTATAAATAAATTCTTATCTTTTTCTTCCAATCTACAATAAATAATGAAATCATATACCTTCCCAGTTTGGTGTCGGCTCTTTCAAGTTGTCATCTTCAGATATAGAGGTAATGACTCCGTGTGATGGAGCGCGTTTCGTCACTTCCGGAACCTCTTCGTCTTCTGCTGCACTACAGTCATCTGTATCTGGTGAGTCGATTTCAGGTTTATCATAATGAAGTGTACAATCTTCCATTATAGAATTATATACAACAAAAATTCAAACGTCATGCCTTCCTAAAGAAAGTTCTGACACGCACTCGCTTCACTGAAAACGAAAGACGATTTTTAAAACTTTGACAGTTGGATTGACAAACTATTTATTATTTAAATCGTTTACATAACATACTTTAGAACTATCGATCGTTATTGACTTAAAATCACTACAAATCTGACGAATTTAAATTGAATGTACATGTATCAGCTAAAATGGAATTGTCGTATTTCGATTTTAAATGTATAGCAGTAAGCGGGGTTTCTGTTGGTGATAGGTTTAGTAAGGGGTTCTAGGAATCATTAATCATTACTTGATGAAAGCAATTTTTCACACTATTACGTTGCTGCAAAGTCGTTACTTTGACTTGAAATACGAAAAAATAATCAACTGTGGGCAGAAACGCTGTACAAGAAGATTGCGTTTTGCAGAAATTAAGCATTTAAAAACACCAGCATTCATGTACCGGATTATCCTTCGTTTTCTACTGGCCAAGAAAAATTCTTGAGCACTTTCCCTCTCTGTTTTGATTGTAACCGAATTGATCAAACGTGTGATTTTAATTAAATATACATTTATTTAGCATTTTTTCAAAAAAAAAAAAAAAAATACATATGCATATCGAGTATGTGGAAAAGGGAATGCGTGATTAACTTCTGGGGGTAATTTTCACACCTTTACACGTACATTATCATTCTGGGAGACATCTGTAAAAACTAAAAAGGAAAAAAATCTGATCATTTAGTCAATATACGGCAATTTTTTCTTCGATACTATTCGAATGAAAAAGAAATAAAATATAATAAATAAAGCATGAGATATTCCCAAACATTTCAGCTCAAGGGAAGACAAAATATGTTGCAACATCAAAATTATTATTTTACATAAATTTTTCTTTGAATTCAGTTTGCATTAAAATCAATTTTAATTAAATAATAGTGATTTAAGTTTTTAAAGGAATCAACGAATCTTTCCTCTCTCGACACCAAAAACTCAGATATGGTATTTTAATTATAACCCAAAATTGTGGTTTTAATAACGTCGAAGTAGAAAATTCTTGCTGAATTTGTTTACTCACCTGTCTTTGGTGAATGACAAAGGAAAAATGTTATCTTTTAATCTTGTTTATATAGTGGAATCGTGACATAGTTTCAGTTATCCAGGAGCATGGCTCGGATGCAGAAGTTCGCCAAGAAAAACTAAATTTCTGACAAAGATGTCGAATAACTCGTATTGGAATGTTACGGAATATAAGATCCAGGAGGCTTTGTGGACATTCCTTTCTCCTTTTCTCATTGTTGTCGGAGATGTTGGTAGTCTTCTATCTGTGGTCGTTCTTAATCAGCACAAATTGAGTAGATTTAGATCATCTACCTTTACCTACCTCAAATATTTAGCCCTTGGAGATATTTTATTGTTGAACGGATGCCTTTTTCCAGATTGGATTAACTACGCTTTCAATGTCAATATTCGAAAGTATTCTATAGGTTGTAAGATCCATAGCTTTCTTGTCTATTTGTCGACAGACTTTACAAACTGGATCTTGGTTGCAGTCTCAATCGATCGCTGTATTGCCGTTTGCTTACCACTGAAAGCTAGAACATACGACCACTTTCAGATTTGCAAAGCCACTATATCTGCCCTCTTTGTTGTAATGACTGCTCTGAATGTTCACTTATTTTGGAATATGGAAACTTCTGATCAAGAGGAACCTTGTGTTGAAGCTAACCACTTCACCTCTCATGTCTGGCCATGGATAGATTTTTGTGTGTTCTGTGTTCTCCCATTCCTGATAATGTTTTCCTGCAATGTATTACTTCTAAGAGCCATTACAAAATCCAGAAAAAAAGCTTTCTCATACAGAGATTCGAAAACTTCTATAACAAATGACATAAGAAAGGAGGGTGTCACTGCAAGACGATCGTCGCACTTGACAAAAATGCTGCTAACAGTGAGCTCGGTGTTCCTTGTATTGACGTTTCCAATCATCACTGTAGAGTTACCCCGATCTCTCTTCTTCAACGCCGACTCTCAAGGGAAACAGTTTGCCAGGTACAAGTTGGCCTGGACGATAGGCAATATGCTGCAGTACGTAAACAGTGCTGGTCATTTTTTCATGTACTTCTTGACTTGTCCATCCTTTAGAGATGAACTGAAGTGTCTTGTTTGTAAATGTAAAAGAAATTCTACCATGCCAAGAGGGAAGGTCAGCACGGTTTCACTGTCTCCCCTCTCTTAAAAGATGATAGTAAGTCGTCGGTATATATCACTGTATGTGACTTTGTGTACCCATTTCAACTGAAAATATTTTCTTTCGTGCAGTTCAAAGGATGCTTATTCATATTCACTGCCAAGATGTAGTTGTGTTTGCAGTAAATGTTGCATGCCGTAAAATAAGTACACATACAGTATTTGGTTTTCCCCTGATTTTGATTATGTCATCTTATTATTAACTCTAGCTATCATATGCACAAAACACGTGTTTCTTTTCTAGATATTTAATTTGTTCACAAAATTTTTTTCTGAATATTGCTATATGTGTAAAAAAAAAATGAAATGATAAAAATAATGAATCAAATGTTGAAGTTTATAACTGTTCATTTCTCAGTTCAAGATATGATTTTCGATCTCTGGACATTTCAGAGCGATAATGATGAGGATTTAACGAAGAAGCAGATCTGGTCGGCTTATCACCAACTTGATGAATTCTGGCAAAATATAAAAAAAATATTTAAAATCATTTCTATTATATCCAGATATTCAAAATATTCTGTTGTATTTTAGGATTTTTTTCTCTCGTGAAATGTTTGCCCAAAAGATATTGACAGATTATTTTGCTTATTTTGAAATCGAAGACATTACTAATCTAAAGGCAATCTCTATTACTAATATAAAGGCGATCTCTATTAATCAAATTTTTAAATTGTCCTTGAGAATAAGGACAAAAAGGCAATATTAGAAAGGGATTTTTACAGTAGTTTTTTAAGAGTTTCGTATATGGATATATATTGAAAGTGAAAAGAATAAGTTGGATATTGAAGTGGACCTGATAAAGTATATGGAATCTGGATTTTTTTTTCCTGAATCACCTGACGTTATATAATATGACCCCTGCTAAACATAAGGTACCAATATTGAATTTTTCTAGGACAGTTACGCCAATATGTTTTTCTGAAGAAGTACACAGAGTTTGGAGAGAATTTTTTATTAATTGCTCGCGTGATGTGCCTTTTTACTGCACTTTATGTCTGTTAGGGCCACGAATGGCTGACAGTAGAGTGTATACACAGAATTATTGTTAAGACGAATGGCTGACAGTAGAGTGTATACACAGAGAATTATTGTTAAGACGAATGGCTGACAGTAGAGTGTATACACAGAATTATTGTTAAGACGAATGGCTGACAGTAGAGTGTATACTCAGACAGAGAATAATTGTTAAGATAAATGGCTGACAGTAGAGTGTATACACAGACAGAGAATCATTGTTAAGACGAATGGCTGACAGTAGAGTGTATACACAGACAGGGAATTATTGTTAAGACGAATGGCTGACAGTAGAGTGTATACACAGAGAATTATTGTTAAGATGAATGGCTGACAGTAAAGTGTATACACAGACAGAGAATTATTGTTAAGATGAATGGCTGACAGTAGAGTGTATACACAGACAGGGAATTATTGTTAAGACGAATGGCTGACAGTAGAGTGTATACACAGAGAATTATTGTTAAGACGAATGGCTGACAGTAGAGTGTATACACAGACAGAGAATTATTGTTAAGACGAATGGCTGACAGTAGAGTGTATACACAGACAGAGAATTATTGTTAAGATGAATGGCTGACAGTAGAGTGTATACACAGACAGGGAATTATTGTTAAAACGAATGGCTGACAGTAGAGTGTATACACAGACAGGGAATTATTGTTAAGACGAATGGCTGACAGTAGAGTGTATACACAGACAGAGAATTATTGTTAAGATGAATGGCTGACAGTAGAGTGTATACACAGACAGGGAATTATTGTTAAGACGAATGGCTGACAGTAGAGTGTATACACAGACAGGGAATTATTGTTAAGACGAATGGCTGACAGTAGAGTGTATACACAGAGAATTATTGTTAAGACGAATGGCTGACAGTAGAGTGTATACACAGACAGAGAATTATTGTTAAGATGAATGGCTGACAGTAGAGTGTATGCACAGACAGGGAATTATTGCGAAAATGCGGGTTGATGTGTCTGTCCTAGAATGCATCAAGATGGCAGCGAGGTGTACCTTTTGGTTTATTAAGTATGATATATTATTTTCTATCATAAGAATTTAAAAATATCAAGACAGCGATTTTATCTAAAGAAATATAGATGAAAATGTAGATTTTCTTTTTTCTGTTTTGATTCTTTGAATATTGGTTGGAATGATATTACAGACTAGATGAGTGAAGTGAAGACAATGATTAGTGGTCGATCTCAACAAAATAAAGATGGGCCATAAAGGCAATATACTACTGTACATACTTAAGTACTTCAAATAAGAACATTTATCACTCACCGTCAAAGTTAATTTTGCCATCTCTATTACTGTCAATCTCGCTGATCATTCCATCAATTTGTTCTTCTGTCATTTTTTCTCCCATATTTGTCATGACAGTTCTGAGTTCACCAGCACTGATGTAGCCACTCCTATTTGTATCAAAAGCTCTGAAAGCTTCCATCAGCTCTGCTTCTTTATCGCTGTTTCTAATCTGTTTGGACATGACCTTAATAAAGTCCTCAAATGAGATCTCGCCTTTACCTTTGGTGGAAATGAAATAAATGTAACATGCAATTAAAAAAAATATTTTGGTAATGATGTATTTAAGGCGTTGGGTTTCCCCCTTAACGTACCTGTAGGATCCACCACTCGAATCATATCTTTGAGTTCCCTGGAAGACGGTTGCTTTCCAATTGTCTTCAAAACGTGCTCCAAGTTTTTTATACTAATAACCTCATTCTGAGATCCATCAAATAAATCAAACACAGCTCTGAACTCTTCATGTGGAAAAAAAAAGGATAAAGAAAATTCAGTAATATAGAGTATATAGTAAGGAAGAAAGGTAAAACTATGGAATCTGAAAGGTTCGAGGGGGAAAAACTTTGCTATTTGGTGGCATTCTGGAAAAATATTCGATGGCTTCCTATTCATTTTCTGACTGCCGCCAGATTTGTTACCTTTGGTCTTCCGTATAAAAATTAATCTTTTTAGACGTGAAGATCATAAAAAAAAATAATCAAATCTTAACAGAGAAACATAGAAATATGCAGTAGTTTGGTGCGTGTAATTTTAAGCATTTCATACCTTCAATTTGTTCTTCTCTTAAATCCTCCATTTAAAGTGTCAAAATCCTTGCATTACTACTGTTAATCTGTTATTTAAAAAAAAAAATAAGATACATTATGCATTGGTTTAATATTTGCTCAGTTTTTGCTCAAATGCATTATACCAATTGAAACATTACCTGAAAAGAATTAACATGAACAAGATGCAATTAATGATTTAAACATTGTTGCTTCATCTATCATAAACTGCATTAGGTTTGATGATCATAACAACTTGATACTTACTTAATTTAATAAAATCCCAATTTAATTCTTGCTCCTGTGAAAACGGTGTTTATAAAAAGTTAATTTTGGCTTTCTCATGAAAGAATGTTTAAATCAACCCATAACACATGTACTGAGCCAGAAATAATTGTTCTATAATGGAAACAGGAGATAAAGCGTTTTCTTCCATTTAAGCATTCCATTCATGAAGGTGATCTTTAGTAAAAACACTTTATTAAGTTCTTTTTATTCAAATGAATTAGCGATTTGAATTTAAAAAAAACCCGTGGCTTTATGGTTTGAAATTCTGTATCCATTTATATTCCAAAGTAAAATACATTTTTCTTATTTACACACTTGAATTTTTGAAATGCAATTAGTTTTTCATGTATACTTAATTCACTTTATAGAATTTTTTGCCTTTAAAATGATATTTTTCTAGGTAACGAGATTATCTTATAGATCATTTTGGAAATATCGATGTACAAATGTGCATATACTATAATTATATATTTCCTAAAAATATTCAGATATTTAAATTCAAGCTTATTATTATCAATCGTTTCAAAACTCGAGAAGTGCCATGACATAAGTAGCAAGTTTACCTGGATGAGAAATGTTTTCCGTGAAGGTAAACAATATCTTCTCAGTGTATATTTGGACTGTACTACTTCACGAACCAATAAGATCATTATCATATATATTGTCAACTTTTTAACGATACTGGTAGATAATAAAATCTTCAAACATCGGTGTATTGACAATGTAAAGCCTGTCTACACATCTAAAGGAACAAAAGATCCGCTGTGATAAAATACAAAATTTAAAAAGAGGTGTAAACAAAGGTAAGATCGGCAGGGTATCAGAGCTAACAAGATAATGAGTTTGAACATTGTAACCAAAACAATTGCTCAGTATGAATTATGCATTTTACAATTCTTTGGGAGTTTACATCAGTGGAAGTTCAATTAAAAATTAAAGAGAATCTGAAGATTTTGAAATTCATTGATTTAAAGTAAAGACTAAATATGGAAAGAAAACGTGCAAAGGAGGTATTCTAATTTCAGGAAGAACGGAGATGAGAAATTATGACGAATGATCCAGTTCGGTGATTCAGAATACACAAAAGAAGTCATAAGCACCTGCTTGTCATTGTGTTTCGTATGCCAGTCAGCGCTTTGTTCATTATTTATTTGTTTAATTTCACTGGTAAAATATACCGTCCATAACACTTCAATTAACCGCTTCAGAATACACTTTATTTAAATTAACAAATTAATTTTACCTTAGTTTATGTCTGTAATTTAATATATTTCGTATAATTCAAACATGTTTGAATAGAAATTTCAAATTTAAATATCATTTCTTTAACATAAAGCTGATATCTATTATTCTTAATATCCTCTTGTAAAAATAAAGCAAGGTTATGCATATATATCGCGCTTTACTACAGATAAAATAGTACATACAGCTGCATACAATGTATATAGTAGTACGCAGTATCAGTGATAGGCAACAGTGATGAAAGTACATGTAGTAGCGGATGTATAATAGTGACATGTGTGAAGGTGTTATAGTAAATAACTAGTATAATACTAGTAACAACTATCTATAACTAGTTATAGTAATAGTGGTAGATAAAGTAGTGAGAGAGGGGACTTTAGTTCAAGTAGTAGTAGTAGTAGGGTCGGTGGTATCGGTGATGGTGATGATGGCGAAGAAAGTAATGCAATTGATGAAGTAGCAGAACTTTTTACTATCAGATGCAAAAGTAATATCTAATTTATAGAGCAGTGGTAGTAGAGTTTTTATCGCAGCTTCTGTCACTGAAGATATCAAGAGCTTTATAACTAAAGTAATTCAATGTTTCTTGAATTCACTGATTTTTAACCCACCCTGAATATAGATATTATTGACACAGCCAGTTACCCCCCCCCCCCCCTCCCCTTATACAGCACACTATGCAAACCTTGAACCTCATTATGAAGCATACTTACCCATACGTGTAAGAGAGAGAGAGTTTATTACTATCTCAAATGACAAAGCGCATAGAAATTTTACCAATCATAGGTTTCAATAAATTCACCTTGTTACTATGAACAACCTGTTATCTTCGTAACACATTTCAATAAAACAAAAACCCAGTCAACTTCAATTTTCAGAAAGTTCTATAGACTCATCACCGACATGTCTTTTCTTATTTTGTATAAGCTTCATAAAAACACTGTGTGTCCAGTTCAATATAATCTCTTACCTACAACTTAGTTACTAATTTCTGCCTTGTTATTATAGCAGAAGAGGCGAGGGTATTACGCTGTAAACCCTAGTAAAAGGATATCTGAAAGAAAACAAAGTGACTTGACTTAGTCAAGCGAATTATTTCTATCTACAAAAGGTAAGATAGTTATACTCAAAGACTAGAAGGAAAAGACAGGACTCGAATAGTTCAGTCATTTACTTTTATATGCAGAGATAAGGTTTAATTTAGAGAGATGCACGAGAAAAGAGTGTTGCCTCCAATATTTAAGCACGTGATATGAGATACCCCCTCCAATATGATAGAATCTTTCATTAGTTGTATCAACGTGTTTGGCAAATGGAATTAAAAAGCCTCTAATTCATGACCTTTTTACTTCTAGTGGAACAGACAAGCATCTAAAACAATAGATATACTAGTTAATTCTGGCTTGGTGCTTCTATTGGCTTTTTGTGGGTTCTTGCAAAATATTATAAGTGTCAAGAGTACATATTATACCCCCCTTTTTTTTTTTTTTTTCTTTTTCTTTTTTTTTTGCTTAATTATGTTCCATTTTTAATAATTAATTCCATTTTCATTATAAAATCAAATATGACTTTTTAGTCTCTAGTGATATTAAACATAGATATAGAATTTTTTTTTTTAGCAAATAAGAAATGTTCCTAGATCATATTCATGTCTAAGTACACAAATGTCTTAGTAAATTATAATATGAGATGTCTTATTTTTCTAAAAGATAATTAATCAAAATTGTTATAATAAAAAAAAAATGTAAAAAAGCTCGAAATATATATCTCAGTGACAGGCAAAATTATAAACTCAATTTGTCTAGGTATAGTTTTAGGAGACTTTTGGCATGCAAATAATTAAAAAAAAAAAGTTGAATATTTCATCACATAAAAAGTTGGTATTAAGAGGCGCTGCAAGCCGTCTAGACACAAGTCTCCGTTAATCATTATAAATAAATAAATAGAAATAAATATATAATGATTTGGTTATTTATATTTACATGTACAGGCAATATGAATTATTCAATGATTAAAAAGAACTATGTTGATCTGTTAAAGTTTCTTAGTTTAAAAAAAAAGGATTTGCCTCCATTGGCATGTTAATGTTATTAGTCAATATAATTGAGCCAATATTCTGAAAGACAATCCATCAATTTTTGGAGACCTTTTTTTTGTAGGCTATAGTATAAAGGAAGATTGCATGAGTCATCTGCAAGGAAAAATGTCTAACTTCAATATTTTATCAATTCTGGTAGGTTTTTTTGTTGCAAGATGTGAGTAGAGATAAGCATAGAGTGTAGGGGGAAAACTGTCTCATTCAGGTTTGTACAACTCATCTCCTTGGCACAATGGTTTTCTATGGCAGGATTCATTCTTAAGCAGTTTTAACTGTCTAGAATACATAATTTTAGAAAATTCATGAGAGGTTTCTCAAAAATGAAACAATAATTATAACCCAGTAATCAATCTTTTTAAGGCATTCCTTGAACATGGAATGGGAAGGATCAATATAGCTCACTTGTCCCCCACCTATCGATGTTTTGTAATGTTTATATACACGTGTATTGCTGGACCTACATGTATATAAATCGCTTTATGACATGTCCAGCTTGCCATTTACAAAAATTTAGGTTGGTTTGTATTTTTTTGCTATAGTTGTTTTGGTAGCTTAGATTTTTTTAATAGTCAGAAAAATTGCTACAAATTCACTCATTTTTCATTAGCAAGTGGTTGCGAGTGAGCAAGACATCTCACCTTATGGTCAGGTGATTATTCTGTTGTGTATGTCTTACTGTGTTTTTTATTGCTTTATGAAGTGATGCGTTTGATATAGGTAAAATAGAAACACAGATTATAAATACTTATCTCGTACCCTGATATGTAGGTTGATTTACATACATTTTCAGTGACATGATGTTAAATATCTCGACTTGGATTACGAAAAAAACCTGTCAAGCTTTTAGCCATTTTTACAGGCTTCTCTTGCAAACACAGATTTTAATTGCTTCATCAGCACAGGGATACCTTGGGCCATGGCTGCGCTTTGACTAGTTATGGGGTCATAGTTTCAGCCATATAATTAATATGGCTGCATTGTATTTGTTGTATTGTGACTAGTCCATTATTTTTACATTGTGTTGGCGATGTTTTCGCTTCCATATTTGTCATCACACAATGTCATTTTATTTAGGGCAATGCTTTTTGCCCTCATTGAAAATTGATTGTTGCTTATTGCCAAGGCAATGCTTTTTGCCTTTTTTGACATATTTAGGGCAGTGATTTTGCCCTCATTGAAGATTGATTGTTGCTGTTGCTAAGGCAATGCTTTTTGACTTTATTGACATATTTAGGGCAATGTTTTGCCCTCAAAAGGAACTGTTGCTTATTGCTAAGGCAATAATTTTGCCATATAGACTTTTGCATTTGCTTATGCTAAGGCAGTGCTTTTGCCTACAAGAATTACAAATTTACTTCTGCTTTTGCCTTTTGCCCGTTGCTTAAGAATACATCGATCATTTGACTTTTCAATGCACCTGATTCAGCATTCTAGCAATGTTTGCAAGATATACTCAATATATTCATGTCTATGAGGATATAAATTAGTTTCATATGACATACAATTGTCCCCAAAATGTGAAATTATTTTATTCTAGAACAATGTTTTCATCACTATTATTGATTTTCATATTATGTTCATAAAATCATAATTTGCAACTTTTGCCACATGCCATTTGGTGGCGCAGACTGTGCAGCAGCACAGTCTCGTGGCAGATATTGGGCTTACCAGTAGGATCATTGAACTCTTTTTCAACATTTCAACAAGCATTTTCAAGTATGGACTAGTCAGTGGACATCTGTGCCCAGGGTTCACATTTCTAGGGATGCCATTACAAGGCAGTATATTGATGCCTCGGCTCCCTCATTTAAGCGGCCGTGGCCCATTCAGCCAAATAAAATAGTAATCAGTACTTTTGTTATTCTGTTGTTTTGATACAACAATTCAACTGGCAATCCCTGCTTTTATTAGATGATTTCATCTTTGATAAAAAGCCTCTAATTCATGACCTTTTTACTTCTAGTGGAACAGACAAGCATCTAAAACAATAGATATACTAGTTAATTCTGGCTTGGTGCTTGTATTGGCTTTTTGTGGGTTCTTGGGTTCTTGCAAAATATTATAAGTGTCAAGAGTACATATTATACCCCCCCTTTTTTTTTTTTTTTTTTTTTTGCTTAATTATGTTCAAAACCATCCAAATAATTTAGTGACAAATCTTTCAATACGATTCAATGTACTAAAATTCAATTTATTGCAGGGAAATTTAAAAATGACCGATCTAGAAAAGAAAAATAAAACGCATTAATACATGTAAGTCCAGTTATGAAGATCACAAAACTTTAATTATTCTTCTGCGTATTTAAAACATGTGCACATCAGATAGTATAAAGTTCATGATAATCACTTTAAAATACTATAAACTATGAAGTTGTAAAAAAAAAAATCAAGAACAAGGAAACAATACAAGTTATTATATCCGCATTATAGGTAACTCCGTAAAAAATGAAATATTGCAATAAAACAAACATCTTTCCTTTGTAGCGGTCATCTCTTCGACTTCATAAGAACTTTAAAATCTGAAGAAGAAAAAAACAATTGTCTACATGTATACAGATGGCGTTTCTTAGATCTACATTTGTTTTACGGTAAAATATATTAGCTATAATATCTTTAACTTAATCTTGAATATAAATCTGGAAAAAAAACAAGAATACGCGTAAATTTCCTGACTTCCAGACCTGCCCTTTCAGTAGTGTTTCAGCCTACCTTCAAACGTTATTCTACCATCTCCGTCCCTGTCAGCTTCCTTCATCATTTCGTCTACTTCCTCATCCGTCAGTCTCTCCCCCATGTAGAACATCCCATACTTTAACTCCTGTGCGTTGATGTAACCGTTTCCACTGCGGTCAAAAATACTAAAGGCCTCTCTCATTTCTTCCTCGGTGTCAGTTTTCTTCATTTCCTTGACGATCATTTCGAGAAATTCTTCAAAATCTATCACTCCGTTACCTTCAAAAGACAATTGAAATCAAATAAAGTGTACTGAAATATTTAGGTCCAATGCCAGTCTATTCAAAGTGAGATTTATTTGAGAGAAAAATATCGAAACAGATGAACATAAATGAAAGTATCTGTGTCAAAAACTGATTCAAAAAAGCACAGGCCTTTGGATCGCTTAAATCAGACTTTAAAAAATCGGGGTGTATAAAAAAGATACTTTTTTAAACACCTTAATTTTTTTAAAGCGATCTAAGGGCCTGTGCAAAAAAGTAATGGTTTATACATAATATATCTTACTTAATTTTGAAGACTGCAGATGTTACAAACCTAAAAACTATTGTTCATGTAAATATCAAGTAAAATTTTACAATTTTTCTTTTAATTGGAAATTCATCGGAACCTGTATATATTTACTCTTTTTGCTTGAAAAATTGACCAGGGGAAGAGGGGTGTTACAATTTTATTTTTACAATAAAAGTGCAATATTTTCATGCTTGTTAAACATTCTGATTGTATATACAAGTACTCTGAAGTTGATACTAAAAGATGCTTGAATTTCTGATTGACGATATCTATGTGGTTTTTGGAGACCGGGGGTCCGCTTTACAAAAGAACTTACGACTAAGACCAGAATTTAATTCTGCTCATTACTTTCTCTTTTACATTAATTTAAAAATGGTTTTAATATGTTTAAAATAAATTGAATAAGATATTTATACGCTAGCAATTTTAAAAATAATAATTAATTTTGCAAAATTTTACAATCAACTTAAGTTTTTGGTCTTAGTCGTAAGTTCTTTTGTAAAACGGGCCCTAGGTCTTCCAACAATCTGTTGGAATTTCCATGGATACCAATTGCGCCCCGTTATTAATATACATGTACCTATTTTTGTATTCAAATAATGCAGAGTTTATTCAAAATCTTATACATGAGAAAAAGAAATCTCTTGTTGTGGCCTTTAACTCGACATTTAGATATATCGACGACGTGTTATGAATTAACAATAGTTATTTCCATTCATATGTTGACACGATATATCCCAATGAGCTTGAAATAAAAGATACCATAGAGTCTGCCTCATCTCTTTCATATTTGGATATTTTACTAGAAAAGACGTTGATGGTAATCTAAGAACAAAGCTTTATGATAAACGTGATGACTTTAACTTTTCAATCGTCAACTATGATAAACGTGATGACTTTCACTTTTCAATCGTCAACTCCCTTTACTTTTGCATCAATTTACCTTATCACCTGCATATGAGGTGTTTTTCTGTCAGTTGATTCGACACGCAAGAGCATGCTCTATGTTTGAAAAATTTCTAAAAAGTGGTAAGTTATTGACAAACAAATTGATGAAAGAAGAATATCAACAGTCTCGTTTAATGTCAGCATTTCGTAAGTTCTATGGTCGATACAATGATCTTGTCAGCAAATACAATCTATAATTAAGTCTGACGTTTTCATGCTAATTGTTACACCATTATTTACACACTGAATTGATTTTTCCGTTATTTCCCGATCATGACAAGGAGCAAACGGCGGATGTGACCGGTCGGCAGGGGATGCTCACTCCTCCATGGCACCTGATCCCACCTCCGATGTTTTTGGAGGTCTGCTTTTGATCTACTCCCGATTTGTATTGTTTTAATGGACTTTGAGCTTGAATGCTGTTCGTTATCTCCATATTTCATGTTTGAAAATTCTAGAATTATTATTTTTACATTACTAGTTGTAAAGGGTTTTAGGCCCTTTATGTTGAAAAAAAATTAAAACTGATGACAATGGGTTTTTTTCTTTTTCTTTTTTTTTCTAAGTTGACTATGCGCTTACCATAAAAATATAATTTTTTTTAATTTTTGATAAGTTGCTTTGTACGTAGTTTATTCACTTGCCATTTCAATTTGTGATTTACAATTAAATTCATGTGTAATTTTTTAACACGGTCACTGACTATATCTGCCATCCTCACCGTATCCACACACCAAAAACAAATTTGACAGTAAGGTGATTGAATATTAACAAATACCGTCCAGATCTACTTCATCCACCATTGCTCTGAGCTCTGTGACTGACGGATTCTGACCCAGTGACCTCATTACTATTCCAAGCTCTTTTGTATTAATACTGCCGTCATTGTCCTTGTCGAAGAGACTGAAAGCCACTCGAAATTCTTTAAAAAATAAATTATCGTTATAAAAATACCACTGTAATTGACTGGAACTAAACTCAATATTCAAAGATTTTTTTTTTATCTAATTATGCTTTCCCTTCCTGTGCTATTGAGCAAACAATGAACGTTTTAATGGAAATGCGCTTATTGCAATTCCGGTTTGGTTTTCATTTATAAAAGTGCTTTAAGAATTGTAGACATTATTGACTTTTTTACTTACCCTTAATCTGCTCTTCTGATAGCTCGCTAGCCTTCAAATAACAAATAAATACTGAAAGTTAAGACACTTAGTCTTTTAAACATTTGCAAAAAAAATGTGTAACAGTTTCCGTGAGCTAAATTCCTGATTTCAGATATATATTTTTTAACTTTTGCATCATCTTCTCTTATATGAAATAGAAAAAAATCTCTTGTACAATAATGCACAATATAAACTACGTAAACAAGTACACTATATATAAAATAGATGAAGATGACGAACATTAATCGATTTAAAAAAAAAAAAAACCTACAAACAATACAAATCTTCGAATAGGGCATGAAACACGGACCACATGAAATTCCAAAGGTGGGATCAGGTGAGTAGAGGAGCAAGCATCCATTGTCGATCTCGGTCACGACACCCGCCGTGAGCCCTAGGTATTGATCAGATAGACTATTGTATACCAAGCATCATTCTATGCAGAGATTTCATGATCGCCATCCATTTTTTTTAATAAAAGAGACTAACTAGTATTTAATATTTTCTAATTATCTCTCTTTCTTAATTTTTAAAATCTTTAGTGTACCCTCACTGCCAGAAGGATGCATACTTTGAAAAATGCGCGTATAAAACTTTATCGATATCAAGAAGTGTAAAGGAGGTTGCGTTCAAAATTGTTTAAAGTGGCCCAGTACACTAACTTTCAAGGAGACCAGTAAGGCAGTTTTTATAGAGTTGTTAAAGATTAATAATCAGAAACGACCTTAACAATAAAATCTACTTACAACACTTATGGCAAGGCAATGCATATGTGTGCTTCTCAAAAATTTCAAAACAAAGGATAATTAATCTTTTAGTCAAAATGCAGTTATCTTTCATCCATATGCGAAAACTTGCACTCAGATTCAGTTTAAGGTGCATTTGGCACATATAGTAAATTAGAGCTTACTTACCAATAATGTAGAACAAAAATGAATTAAAATTTCCAAAAAAAAACCCTTTCTGGGCAGAATTTGTAAAAGCAAAATGAAAAATGAATAAAAGATAGGTAAATAAAATTAAGCTTACCATTATAAATATGACTCTCTTCTCTAGATTCCGGGACCTTTTACTCGAGGTGTTTACAGAAATACATTATGTAGATCGGAGATACCTATTTTTGCAGACACTTGTCACGTGCTTATTAAGGTAATAACACTTACTGAAATATATTTCATATTATTATAACAGATCGTCTCAGTTCAAGTTCCCTTAAAATACACGGGTCCTATACGGTAGATTCCTCATCTATTTGTTGACATAAAGATCTCTTATTTTCTTCCATTCTCACGAGTCTTTCACGTCTATATTTACGTGGATGTCTACTTATTGATTTTCTGATATAGATTTCCTCTCTATGTAAGGCCAGAGTAATTTTTAATAAAGCAGGTAAAATTGGATAATCTATGAGAAGAATTAAATGAACTCTTAAATACGGGAAAGTGTTGTACTTTTGACATTAATTCATTTTAGTGTGAATGGGAAAAAGTGTCGCGGTAATATAATGACGGAAATTTTGGAATACACTGCCATAATTAATCTTAGGATTACATTTGACATGACAATAATCTTGACTCGAAGCCATAGAAAAATAAGCAACTTTGAAAACCTCGTGTACACCATGTCAATTGAAATCAGGGTTTAAAAATATTTTCAATTTCGCATTTATGTAGTTTGATAGGTGTTAGAATAACTGGTTGTTATGAGTTTTCATTTTAGAAGATATGCATCAATTGGTATACAAAGATTTTTATTCACTTTGTTAGTGTCACAACTAACTATATTATTTTTATTCCAATTAAGAGCTTGAAAGATACTGAGCTCCGAAGTTTGGTAATAATTTGAAATAAGCATACGCGCGCACTCATGTGTGTGTGTGTGTGTTATTGCCGCATGTGTGTGTGAGGGAGAGAGAGAGAGAGATTGATGCAACGTTTCTTTGCTCATTACTAGAGGAAAACTATCACACGAAATTACGATAATTTATTAAAAGAACATCTATTGATATAAAAAAGACAATTTCACGGGCAAATAAAATGGACATATTTTGATGTGAACAATTCTATGAAGATGAGTTTTAATGTTTTTCAGTATATTTTCCCTTCATTGTAATATACGTTAAACAGATGATTACAAAACATTACTCAGCTATCATCGTCAGTCAAAAAATAAAAAGATTATCAAAATCGTTTCTTTAATAATTATTGTTTATTTCCAATTCAATTTGTATCGACAACGGAAAATTTCATAGAAACGATATCAGCAAGCCCACATTCTATTGATTGACTCCCATAGACAGGTCCAGATCCCGCCGGGGTACCTGTTAATATGACGTCACCAGACTCCAGCGTGAAGTACGTACTGACGTAAGATATTATTTCCGGGATAGAAAAAATCATATCCGAGGTACGACTGTCTTGCTTCATTACATCATCAACCTTCAGCCACAAGCCAACATCACTGTAATCTGGAATCCGGTCCTTCTCAATGAATTCACTAACGGGACAGGAAGTGTCAAATCCTTTACAAAGAAACCATGGTCTGGATTTTTCTTTGGCTTCGTTATGGAAATCTTTGGCAGTCATGTCAAGGGCCAGTAGGAAGCCGCCGATGTAATTATCAGCATCAGATGGTGAGATCTTTGTACACTTCTTACTGATGACAACTCCCAATTCCACTTCATGATATAACAATTTACATCTTATAGGAATCTGGAAAAAAAGGAAAGTGGTGGTAAGTTAAAACTCTGAATACTTTATTTCTGAATAGATCTAGTACTCAGATTTTTCATATCAACGTGTATTTGTAAAGATTATGGCAATAAAAATGCCGCCTGTCAATAAAAACGTTAAAAGAACATCACATTCCTAATTGCTTCCTCATCAGCGGCTGACCAATTGTTTGAAGATATTGAGGTTTGAGACTATATATTGACTTAATCCATCGTTGCAGCCTTATTCTTGACAAATGCAAATAAAGATAACGTCTGACATGTGCACTGTTTAAACAGGAACACAATATGTTTCAATAATTTTCAGAATGAAGGCTGTTGTACGGAAATTAAAAATTAAAGACGAATTTAACACGTGGAAAACATACAAGGTAAGTTAATTTGTGTGTGTGAAGAGAGAGAGAGAGAGAGAGCATTGTGGAGAGATTCAAAATTGATCATCATCTATCAAATGTCCAACCAAAACACTAAGAGATTCTTTTTTATTACGTTTTATCTAAATTTGATGATTTAGTTTAATTTTTTTACCCTCTTCTCGCTTTCGGCTATTTTTGCCGAATAACCACAACATTACACCGCTTTGAAATTACGAGAATACAAAATAAAAAATACATGTGTGATTGATATCTACTGAATAAAGGAGGAAAGCACGTCATAGGTGTATGTTTCTATATTATAACACAAGGTTTATAATATCGAAATTTCCCAGACACTAAGGCCAAATAAAAAAATATGTGTGGTTCCGGTTACCCGACCTTCCCTATTTTACACTCCCGACCCTAAACTTTTTTTTTGGCAATTTCCATATTTTTTCCGGAATTTTCCCCGATTTCCATCAATGGCTCCAATTTAAGTTTTAGGTTCAGCAATGACGGCCTCCTTGCAAAACATAGTGCAAGTGTTTAATAGTGTTAAATCCAAAGCAAGCTAGCATGTAGGTGTCCCCTACCAATATTGACTAGTATATTATGACACCTCATCTAAATGCCATTTGCAAAGCAGTGATAGGTATTAATTAGAAAAAATTAAGAAAATCATTTTGTTAAAAAAAAAAAAAAAATAAAAAATTCCCTACCTACCTACCCTAATTTTTTTGGAAGTGTAACCCGAACCACACATATTTTTTTGTTTGGCCTAAGGCAGGAACTGGTTCTATCATCTTTCATTCGAATGACACTAAATACCTTGATATTCTGACCCTGGGATATGTAGGCACTCGTTGGTTTCATAAAAAGGACTGGTTTTTCTGGGTTGGGTATTCCCTGTGCCGCTGTCAATCCTCTGAAATATAAGAAACTTCAAAGATAAAGAATACGTATTCACGTAATTAGGAACTTATTGGATTTACAAATACTGGTATAATCAAAATGAAGGCATTGCAAAAAGCGCCATTAATAACTTTTTTTTTATCTATTTCAAATTAAGACAAAATTCAATAGAAATACCAAAACCAGAAGTCTCTGACGAGACTGTAGCTCTGCTGGTTGTACTTATAAAGGGAGATAAAAGTGGCACTTGGACTTGAAACTTTGCAACAGCAAAAATAGAATTATGATCCTTGGTTTAGTCTCTTTTTGTGGCAAAATTTATTGCAATCAGATTAAAACTGTAGGAGGAGTAGCCTTTTAAAACAATTTTACAGAAATTTCGAGTTAAGTAACCATGGCAACCTCATTCAACAAATCAAAAAACAATAAAGACAATTATGTATCTCAGTGTAGTCTACCTATATGCCAAGTTATACTGAAATCAGACAAAAAGTGTAAGAGGGGTAGAGATGTGAAAGTATTTCAAGAAAATTTCTATTTTTAGTAACCATGGCAACACTGTTCATCGAAATCCAAACTGGTATAGAGAATTATGTATCTTAGTGTAGTCTACTTGTGTGCAAAGTTATACTGAAATCAGACCAAAACTGTAGGAGAAGTAGCATTTTGAAATTATTTCCAAGAAATCTCTATTATTAGTAACCATGGCAACACCGTTCATTGAAATCAAAACCCGACATGCAGAATAATGTATCTTATAAAGTAGTGTAGTCTACTTGTATGCCAAGTTTTACTGAAATCAGACCAAAACTCTAGGAGGAGTAGCGTTTTGAAATTATTTCCAAGAAATCTCTATTATTAGTAACCATGGCAACACCGTTCATTGAAATCAAAACCCGACATGCAGAATTATGTATCTTAGTATAGTCTACTTGTGTGCCAAGTTATACTGAAATCAGACCAAAACTCTAGGAGGAGTAGCGTTTTGAACGTATTTCCCAGAAATCTCTATTTTTAGTAACCATGGCAACACCGTTCATTGAAATCAGAAACCGATACACAGAATTATGTATCTTAGTGTATTCTACTTATGTGCCAAGTTATATTGATATCAGACCAAAACTGTAGGAGGTGTACGTTTTGAAAAATTGTTTACAGACAGAAAGACGGACGGACGACGGACACCTTACTATCGCATCAGCTCTTCTGGTCTCTGACCAGTAGAGCTAAAAAAAAAACATCGTGATTTATACTTATTTTACAGTAGGGAAACACCATCTTGTTATCAAATTCACAACTTACAAAGTTTATACATGAACGACAACGCGTAGAATACCGAATGAAATACCTGTAGTTTCTGCACACTGCTATGATCTTTTTGCCGTTTTCTTTAAAGTTTTTGTAAGTTTCCGACATGACGTATGCTTGAACTGTCTTATTAAAAATAGGACAAATTGTTGTCAACAGACAATCAGGTAAACTGACAGAGATAAGATACGCTATAAGATTTCCAAGTTTCAGTTCTTGTCAGGATAAAATAAATTCAATATCCTGTGTGTTTCTCTTAAAGAAGGATTCTTGTCATGTTTCTAAGTAAAATATTCAAAGTATCTTTGCATAAATACCCCATATATTGAGAGAAGTTAGGATTTTAAACATAAATGGGTTTAAAACCTAGCAGGAACTATATTTTTGTCGGAACAGACGATTAAGAAAATTTTTGCCGACAAGGTCATTGTATCGACCATGATGACTTTAAATGAGTCTGTTGATATCCTTGTTTCATCTATCTGTTTGTCAATAACTTGCCTCGTTTTAGAAATTGTTCGTTCATGGAGCATGCTCTTGTGTATCCAATCAACTGAGAGATATGAGCCCAATATGCAGGTGATAATGGTATCTTTCGAGTGTCATTGAGTTCTTTAAATAATCTGAGTATGTTCATTTTAAGCTTATTCTAAAAGACAAATTCTGTTCATAAATACATTTGTATGAAAGACAACAACATAAAAACAAAAAAGTATTCAATTTTTATCAAAATTTCAAAATGCTTGCTTTCAATAATTGTAACAAATATAATAGGAAGTTCGTCGTCAGCTCCTTGTCAAAACAATCAAGTCCTGCTTTTAACTTGATCATATTCCTGTACCGTCTTTCTCGAGTTAAACCAATTCTCAAATACCAATTCACAAAACGTCAGGTGTGAGCCATCAAATTGATGAAATCTGTAAAAAGACCAGAAAGAAAAACCTTTTTACTCGACCACATCTTCATTTAAATGAGCAAGGTTTTTTTCTCTCTGTTTTCCCTTACATTTGAAAGTGTTAAGAAATGAATCTATTTTGACACAATTCATTTCTGATTTTTAGCTCACCTGAGCCAAAGGCTCAAGTGAGCTTTTCTGATCACATTTTGTCCGTCGTCCGTCTGTCTGTCTGTCCGTCTGTAAACTTTTCACATTTTCGACTTCTTCTCAAGAACCACTGGACCAAATTCAACCAAACTTGCCACAAAGTATCCTTGGGTAAAGTGGATTCAAGTTTGTTCAAATGAAGGGCCACACCCTCTTGCAAGGGGAGATAATTAGGAATTAGTGAAAAAATAATGGCATCATTTAAAAATCTTCTTCTCAAGAACCACTGGGCCAGGAAAGATGAAACTTATGTAAAAACATCCTCAGGTAGTGTAGATTCAATTTTGTTCAAATCATGACCCCCGGGGGTAGGGTGGGGCCACAATGGGGGATCAAAGTTTTACATAGAAATTTATAGGAAAATGTCTTTAAAAATCTTCTTCTTAAGAACAGCAAAGCCATGATTGGTCATATTTATATGGAAGCATCCTCAGGTAGTGTAGATTAAAGTTTCTTCAAATCATGACCCCTGGGGGTAGGGTGGGGCCACAATGGGGGATCAAAGTTTTACATAGAAATATATAGGAGAATGTCTTTAAAAATCTTCTTCTTAAGAACAGCAAAGCCATGATTGGTCATATTTATATGGAAGCATCCTCAGGTAGTGTAGATTCAAGTTTGTTCAAATCATGACCCCCGGGGGTAGGGTGGGGCCACAAAGGGGGATCAAATTTTTACATAGAAATATATAGGAAAATATCTTAAAAAATCTTCTTCTCAAGAACAGCAAAGCCATGATTGGTCATATTTATATGGAAGTATCTTCTGGTATTGTAGATTCAAGTTTCTTCAAATCATGACCCCCGGGGGTAGGATGGGGCCACAATGGGTGATCAAAGTTTACAGAGGAATATATAGGAAAAAATCTTTTTCTCAAGAACAGAAAAGCCATGATTAGTAAAATTGATATGAAGGCATCCTTGGGTAGTGTAGAATGAAATTTGTTCAAATGAGGGACCCCAGGGTGGGGCCACAATGGGGGATCAAATTTTTACAAATGAATATATGGGAAAAAATCTTCTGCTCAAGAACAGCAATACCATTTGTTATATTGATATGAAAGCATCATCAGGTAGTTTAAAATTCAACCCCCCCCCCCCCCCCGTTAACTTTTCAATACTAAACTCATTTTTGCTTCTTTTTTTCCCTAGCCAATTTGCTCAGGTGAGCGATGTGGCCCATGGGCCTCTTGTTTAAATGTACATTTGTTCGTATTATACAATATCAAAATAAAATCGAAAATATTCTATACATGGCGTATTCAAATTAAATCTTACTTACATGAGAGTCAGATTTTTATTATTTCGCTCTCTTTCCGGTAAGAAATATTTTATCGACAAGTTAATGGAAAGCATGCTGTACATTGCTTGTAAACAACTGCATCCAATACCAAATAATGGAAGCCTTTTACTCAGGCTTTCATCGTGAATGACAAAGCAGATTCAGAATATTTATGCTTTTTTGGAATCCCAAATAAAATCATGCATGAGCCACATCAGAGTATTTATAGCTTCCCAATAAAAAGGAATTAAAAAATTCTTCAAAAATCAATCTCACCATTAAAAGTCGCTTATCGATATAAGGGAAAATAACAAAAAAAAAAAAAAAAAAAAAAAAAAAAAAAAAAAAAAACAATAAGAGCCTTTTTGAATAAAATTCCCGGTGTATTTACCTATTCTGAATATAAATGTAATCGATTGAAAATAAGTGTTCATACCTTATATAACTTCAATCGGAATTGTTTTATCGCTGAAGTGTGGTCGATTGTCACTATTGTGTTTTGTTGTCTTTTGGATGTAAATCAAACAAATTTAAACAGTTTTTAGAGGGCAGCTCAATATACAATAAGTTTTTTGGAACATAATTAGAAACACAATTCGTGATGTGGCGGCTACACGACTAGCACCGAATTGACTGATTTTAATATTTTGTCAGGTAAGAAAGGGTTTTGCATTTATAGTTACATTTAGATTTATATGTATTAGTAATGAAGAGGATGGACAAATTATTTTTTTTTTCCTTTTTAAGAAACTATACGTCTGTTAAATACCCATTTTAATGCAAAAACAGAGGTCTTCTGTAAAAATAAATATGAATATGAACATGTGACCTCTTTAATGTAAGTATTGTGAATCTAGTTGTAGAACAAAAGTAAATTCATTTTTTAATTTGACGCACATGTTAAACAGAATAAATAATAAGCTTTGAATACTTCAAGATGTACATACTAATATTTTGAGATAAAACTTCTAACAAATTAGTGAAATTACATATACCAAAAAAACTAACACAGAAGTTAACAAAAGCCTAATAGCAATCCAGTTTGATAGTACTATAGTATTTGGGTATCTTTTTCAGTACTGAAAACGCATTTGAGATTATTGAGAATTTTCTAGAAATTCCTTTAATCTCTTAAAATTCAGGCTAAACATTTTTCTTTGAAATCTGAGCAGAGATCAATAACTTAGTTACAAGCAGGGACCAATTAATCATGAAAAAACAATTAGTCTGTTAGGGAAACAACTTTTGTCGGATGTGTTAGTGTGATTCGTGTTTCATTACTTTAATTGAAATGTTGCAAATTTGATCGAACATATCTGAAAAAATACGATTCTAAATCATAAAAATGATCTGAGTATTCTACTGACATAAGCTGAATTCACGCTTGAGACATCGGCGAAGTAATTCTACTCTTAAAAAATTTTGATAATAGATTTTTGACGAAGAGTTTCATTTTGATTATATTTACAAAGGAAGGGGGTAAGTACATGCGTATATATTTCTAGACATATTCAATAGACCTGTAATAGATTTTTTTCTTATAATATTTATTTTATTCTGTGATATCATTAATTTTAATACGTTATATTCAAAACCGTTTTGAAATTTTAGGTATTAATAATTGAATTGAAATTTTAAAAGTTCAAAAATCAGATAAAATTCAGCTTGATCTACAAACGATACCCGGCTTCGGGGCCAAAAAACTTAGACAAGCTAATTTATGATCTCTGTCTCACTTTTTCCACTACATATCCCTTTTGTAAAAGTGAGCTGACATCAAAAGTGAGCTCGTCTAAGTTTTTGTGGCCCCGGAACCTGCATATGACGCCTCTTCAGATAACGTTCTATTCTTACCTTCATAGTGTATTTGACCTTCTGTATGTTCTGCCGACTTTATTATTTCTTCCATTTCCTCTGTACTAAGTTTATCCCCCACTTGTTGTAGTACCTGTCTGAGGTCATCAGGTGACACATAACCTTTCCTGTCCCGATCATAAACTAAAAATGCTTCCATTAATTCGTCTACAGTGTCCATGGTTTTCACATACTTAGACATTAACAATTGGAATGTTTCATAGTCAATGATCCCCTCTCCTAAAACAGACAAAAAGACAAATTTAAATTATGATATACTTAAAACATATGCAAAAGCGTGCTGTTACGCTCCGGCTCTCTCTCTCTCTCTAATGGGATGTGTAAAATTTGAAATCATACCTTCATAATTGCAGAGCTAATGAACATACATGTAAGAGTATTACATGTTCAACTCACTCAATTCTAGCACTCGGTACTGAATTTTGTTTGGAGAGGGTATTCTTCAATGGATTTGTCAGTTGCAAATCCTATTACATGTCATTGTTAAGAATAAAATATTGCTTCAAATTTGATCCAGAAGTACGTTTAAAATAATTGTGAGGTGATAATTTAAATATATAAGAAATAAGTGTTTATTATTTGTGTGTATGAAGATTATAACCGATGTATAATTCTGCGAATTAACACGTGCTCTAGTGTCGGTTATCTCCTTGTACACACACAAAAAATAGACAAGGAACAAATCATCAGGTTTTGAATGGTAATAATTTACTAATTAAACAGTTAATTAATATACCTTTATATCTTTTTACATTGGTTATTCAAATAACTTAATTCAGTAATGTAGTTGTCGGGGGGGGGGGGGGTTACCTTCAGAGTCCACCTCGTTAATCATGTCTGCTAACTCTTCTTCCGTCGGACTGTATCCCATAGATCGCATTATGGGGCCTAGCTCCCTCGTCAACACGATACCCTCCCCGTCCCTGTCGAATAGGCTGAATGCATTTTTAAACACTGAAACACAAAAGCACGACACTTCAAATATTACTGCTTTGAGGTGTAGGTAATGAAATAATCCTAAATGTTGTCTATTAGCTTGGTGAGCAAGGTTTACATACTTGCCAGCGTCTCTGGTTTGACTCCTTCTACCTGTAATATAAAACACATGAAAACAAAGGTAAATACACACAAGAACACGTGTTTTATTTACTAAGAGTAAACCTATATACACGTACAAGACACAAAATTTGAGTCTATAAAGTGAAATACAATATTTATTTGCTTTAAACATTTGTAAAATACTGGAACGTAAAAATAACGTTACCATCACGTAGTGCATCAACGGATCATAATAACTTTACATTTGGCTATATTGTAAACCTTTTCATCTCATGCTTTTGTCCTTTACTTATTTATTTTACAAAGTCAGTTGTTCACCTTTCAGAAAAGAATATATGGAATTTAAAAAAACTAACTTAGAAATCCAAAACTATAACTCGATAAGTAATGTCCTCAATAAAGCAAAGGAATGGTGTCCATATAAATAAATTCGTAACGTTTATAGGGATAGGGTTTAAGTTCCAAATTCAGTATAATTAATGCTATATAAGATATAGAACACCTACTTTTCCTACAGGTTATAAAAAAATCTACTTACCATTTTCAGTGGGATCTTGATTAAAGACACTAAATCTGGCACTCCATTTTAAACTTTAATGTCAAAACTTGTTTTTATTCTTTGCTATTTATATAAAGCATTTACTTTGTTATCTTTAGAAGGAAAAACCAACAAAGAACAAACCAAGTATTGGAAGCTCCGGTATGAGTCGGCAAGGCAGAGTTTTAAACCTTTTGTTTTATGACAAAGCAATCAGACATTCATTATTTACACACAAGCGTGCTAGTATATTCATTAAACAGTTCCCATCTATTGCACAAATTGGCTACTTTCTGTAAATTGTTATTGACATAGTCATTGATTAAGAGGTTAGAAAGGTTGATTAAAGATTTTCGCTGAAGAAACATTCGTTTTTTTCCACAAAAAAAAACTAACAAAAGAAGGCACATAAGAATATTATGTTTAAAAACTAGAGATACATAGACCCTGTCTATATTTGTCTTGTTTAATCATTTAATGTAACGAATATTCATTCTCTGTGACGTTACACACAGGCACGTAGGAAGCAAATTCAGTTTGGGGGGGGGGGGGCACAGCCATACACTTTCAATTGACAGTTTAGGGGACACTAACAAAAATTTCCTGACAAGCAAAAAAAAAAAAAAAAAAAGGTCATCAGACGTTTTTATTGAGGGGGCACAAGCAGATAGTATTTATGTTTACTATAGTAATCTATATATCGGCAAAATTATTGGGGGGCACGCCCCCCCCCCATGCCCCCCCCCCCCCGGTTCCTACAGCCATGACACAAATGGCTCATTTTCATTTGCTTGTGGAACAAACGTAAAAAAACATTATTTTGTGGATGCTTGGCATATTTTTCTAATTAATAAATCTTTTTTTGCATTAATGAAACTGACCTCAAATAAAAACTCAAATAAAAACAACTTACACACATTGTGCTGAAAGAATATCTTCATAAAAGCCAGATATATTTTTAATCAGCAGCAAATAAAATCCCTCTTAACAATGTTATGCAGAACTTAAAATTGTCACTTCAGTTGCGAAAAGAAGAATATGCCTTTATAAAACGATTTCATTTAACACGAACATTCCATGCTATATATTTTGTCTACATATTAAGTGAACTTGATACAATTTTTGTTAAATATGTGTGATTTGCGAAGAAATTAGGATTAATATTCGGTCTCTACTTATTTATACAGCAATTTATATTCTTACAAGGTTTGAAACTGTCATCACCACCACTCCAGGCTATTGGTTGCCGCAGAATCAATGCCTTATATATTATGCATATTTGCTTTCTGGAAAAAAAAATTGAAAAGCAGTTAATACTTATTTTATGCATGCAACAAAACATGCGTGACAAAATTTACATTTATTATTTTCCATGGAACTAATTCAAGTAAACTGTAGAAGGACAGTGGAAGCAGCTGTTCTCATTAAAACTTGATACAGAGGCACAGTGTGACCTCAAACATCGAAATGTTTTGTCTTTAGGTTGTATTGTTACACAAGAGTCGATGATTAATTGATAATCTCTATTCTCCTGAGTATCACTTGCTTTGACAGCTTGCATTTCAAGTTTCTGAATCGCTTTTTGAGTCGGCAATAAATTTTAAGGTTATTGATTGAAGCTGACATGGTTGGTTTATGTTTAGTGTTAATTCCCGGAAAATAGTAATGTATAAATATTTGTCAAGCTCTCCATCTTTAAGACTGACACATTCCGTGGGACTGTAGAGGGAGAGAAATGGTTTGTATTTTAATAATATGGATATAGTTATATGAATTATCAGCAGACATGAACAATAATTGAATGATCTGTAATGTTTTTTCATGCAATTATTTTTATTACCTTAAAGCTTTAAACAAATTTACTGAGTCGTGAAGGGATTTTAGGAAGTGTTTGGTTTACTTTCAGGCATCCAATAAATACGTGCGTTACAAGAAAGTGATGCAGTCTTTGAGTCCCTCAGAAGTCGACAGTATGTAAATTAATTCACTTTTAATTCATTTATTGCATCCTGGGAAACTTTCGCCCAAATGCAATAAAATTAATATTTACCTTGCTTAAACCAGCCTCAAGCAAAACTCATTCTTCATAATGAAGTTTGTTGTGTAGATCAATTCAGTTTCAAATTTGTCTAGTAAGACTGAGGACGAAATTTTCTCATTACAATAAGTAGAATAGTGAAATGCGTCAATTTATTACAATAAGTAGAACAGTGAAATGCGTCAATTTATTACAATAAGTAGAACAGTGAAATGCGTCAATTTATTACAATAAGTAGAACAGTGAAATGCGTCAATTTATTACAATAAGTAGAATAGTGAAATGAGTCAATTTATTACAATAAGTAGAATAGTGAAATGAGTCAATTTATTTAACAATGTGCGTTAATCTTTAAAAAATGCATCTTTTGTTTCAATCGAGACTTTGTAAAACTTTGAGATGCGGTTGCTTCTTTGTGCCTAAAGGCAGAGAGGGTTAGAGTTATTGCCCCAGGATCATAAAACAGTGCAGGCAGAGACGGTTAGAGTTATTGCCCCAGGATCATAAAACAGTGCAGGCAGAGAGAGTTAGAGTGATTGCCCTAGGATCATAAAACAGTGCAGGCAGAGAGACTTAGAGTGATTGCCCCAGGATCATAAAACAGTGCAGGCAGAGAGGGTTAGAGCGATTGCCCTAGGATCATAAAACAGTGCAGGCAGAGAGAGTTAGAGTGATTGCCCCAGGATCATAAAACAGACTTAGATTTCAGTCAAATTTTCAATCGACTATAAAAGATTTATTAGTTATTGAATTAATCTCTAAATTTACAGGTAACAAAACTTTTGTGAAGCAATATTGAAACATATTTCAGTTTTGGACTGCTTGACTTCTACAACATTTTAGTACGGCATATTTTGACTTGAGCTTAAGATGTTTCATTACGTCGAGTCTTGATCTATTTAACAGTTTGGTTTTATATATGTAGTTCTGCATTGAAGATGTGTTATATACATGTATGACACAGATGTCATTCTTCATTAGGTAAAAAGAATCTCTGCTACTAAGTAAGGGGTAATGATTGAACAGATTCAACTTGTTCAACAGTTCGTTGATAAAGAATACCTCCAAGTTTATTGACCAAATCTTGAAAGTGTAAAGTCATTTTCATGTACATGTAATCAGCTTTTAACATTTACATGGGTAGTGGTAAAACTAGATTTTTACCAGAATAAGCAATTGAGGCACCCATAGTTAAGCGAACAGTCAAACTTTATATTCAAACATGAATTTGATATAGATGTCTTTGACAATAAGAACCAGTGCACTGAGACATTTAATTTTTGATAGAATCAAACAAAAGTTTCCTCTTCATTTTAACAGTGTACAGAGAAGCCTTTAGTTTTTTCGACAAAACAAAGAAAGGGTACATAGTGGCGGACGACTTTGAACGAGCATTAACAAGAATCAATCAGATCAGTCAAACTACCACAACCAGGGAAGAGGCAGAAAGTCTGGTCAAAGAATATGATGTGAATGGTAAGGCAAATATACTTCATTTTTATCTGAAACTTTTAATATTTTACAAAAGAATGCAAATTCCGAATGCATCAAAGTTCAGAAAACACGGAAGGATGTAATTTGAGAAGTAATTCATTAAAATCAGCACGAGTTTACGTACTTTATCATGCTCAATGTCTATTGTAATTTTCATATGTTTGTCTGATGATTTCACTATATCTCTTGTCCTTCTTACTTTTTACAACATAGGTGATGGCAAAATAACGTTTGAGGAGTTAGTTGTTTCTATTGTAAAACGGTTAGAGACTAAGGACAGGGACTCTCAACTTCAGAAACTGTTTAAGAATTTCGATTCTGACAATGACGGCGCACTAAACAAAGAGGAATTTGTCGCTCTGCTGGGCTCTTTAGATGACAAAATATCAGCCACAGACATTGAAGAAATTCTAGCAGATTTTGACGAAAATGAATCGGGTTTAATGCAATACAACGGTAAGATGACGCCAGTTAGTTATCGATTTACATCAAATATGCCATTCATCTTCGTCAGTGTATAGATAGATTAAAAGTATACTTTCAGTCTACATGTCAGTCGATAAAAATCAATTGGAATCAAAGGTTCGCTTCATCGCATAAATGTGAAAGTATCTACAAAAGTCTATCAAATATTTATTTGTTGATAAATTCCATTGGAACATCGAAGTGTATTAATATAGAAAAATGGACGCTTATTGATTGGATTAAAAGGTTAAACAAAAGTCATTGAAAGGCTCATCCGACTAAGTTATGACCATGTAGATGTTCATAATTTAAACATTCTGTGGCGTTTGATGATCATACATGTATTTTACACTGAGAAGAGAGAAAGATTACTAATGGGATTAATATCTGCAGAAATTCAAAGAACGTTTATGACAAAATGTAAATCCTTGAGACATTGCCCTTTTTTCCAGAAATATTTGTATTTCTTCATTAGCATTTTGCAAAAGTGTGAATCTTTCGGGGGGGGGGGGGGGGGCTCAAAGTTTCTAGTGTATGCTTGAGCGTTAATTGAATTTGCATTTTTACTTAATTTCAGTCTCTAAAATCATTTTTTTTTAACAAATATAAATTTAAAATTTTACTTTTGGATGATTAGTTTGTTTCAGGTTGAAGATTTTCTTTCTCTTGACATCTTTTTGAAACTTATAAAAAGATAAAGCTTCTAAGTATATTCTTATGCTGGAGTTAGGCTGCTACTAGCTATAGGACAGAGTGTACTTATTAAGCATAGACTTGATGTTTATCATTATTAGTATGTTCTGTAATCTTAAAAATAAACGATTGGTGGTATTTTGTATTCTTTATTTTTAGATTTTTCAAAAATAATGAAACAGCTTGTTTGAAAGGAGCTAACACGGAACTCCGCTGCACATCCAAGAAAAGACTGACTTCAGGTTTTGAAGGCGCTCCTGAGTTAAAAGGCATTTTCTTTGGAACTGGCCATAAGACAAAATATTCTGATATAATGGAGACAAGTATAAAAATGAACAACGAATAATGAAATTATGAAGATTGAACTGCTATACTTAGTTAAATATAACTGTCGTTTTAATACATATATTTGTTAGAAATATTTGCGTATCAAACATCATTCAATTCATTTTAGAGACAATATTCTAAAAATCTTATTCTTTGATTATTTTATTCGTTGTTAGATACAATAACATACTCGTGGACATAAATACGGAATATCTGTCCTCAGAACTTACATATATAAAAGATGAAATTTCATTACGCTTAAGAATGTTAAATTAACCTATGTTTTTTACCATTTCTAAGGCGAGGAATAATTTAGAAGTACAAAAAAAAAATATGGAAAAAGTGAGAGATTATTTGATTGACAGTATATTTTGCAAAACAAATACTAGTACATCCATTTTTCTCAGTTAGGTTTCTGGTAACGGAAACAAAGGTGATAAAGGAGAAAAAGCTTTAAATGGCGACCTTAATGAAATATATGGAGATAATGAACAGTATTCAAGCTCAAAAGTCCATCAAACAATACGAAATAGGAGCAGAGCAAACACGGACCTCCAAAACATCAGAGGTGGGATCAGGTGCCATGGAGGAGTGAGCATCCCCTGCCGACCGGTCACACCGGCCGTGTGCTCCTTGTCATGATCGGGAAATAACGGAAAAATCCGTCGACAATTCAGTGTGTAAATAATGGCCTAACAATTAGTATGAAAAACGTCAGTCAGCATTTGACTCAATGATAAATTGTATTTGCTGACAAGGTCATTGTATCGACCATTGAACTTACGAAATGATGACTTTAAACGAGACAGCGGATATTCTTGTTTCATCAACTTGTTTGTCAATATTTCACCCCATTTTAGAAATTGTACATGCGTAGAGCATGCTCTTGCGTATCGAATCAACTGAGAGATATATACCCCGTATGCAGGTGATGAAGGTATATTGCTGCATAAGTAAGGAAAGTTGACGATTGAAAAGTTAAAGTCATCACGTTTATCATTATACTATTTTATCATTATACTAGTTTATTATCTGGACATCAGCTTGTTCAGTTCCTCCTATATTTATATTCATGTCACCCCGAACAAAGACGGGACGACCTATTGTTATTTTTCCACCTATAATTTAATCCACTAATGTTCTCTCAGATGGCTTGGATTATCTTAATAAAAAGATTTCATTTTTCTCAGTAACTGTCCAAGAAATCTTGTTGAAACTTAAAAGGATTGTTCCTTGCATCATGTCAAAGTGGTTTCTGCAAAAACATAACAGAACAAAAATAGAATCGGTTGCAAAACGTTTGTCGCTGTTGCTATGGATAGAACGATAATAAGGGATTGCTTTTTTCTTTTGGGAGGTATAAAAAAAATTGCCTTCATCTGATTATTGTTTATTGATATTGTTCAGATAAGTGTTCTTTTGAAATATTTTGCTGACTTTGTGCATAAAATACATATTTGATGCTGGACTCATGGTCTCCAGTTGCTTTCAGTCGGGAAAATATGCAGGCCATGGCATGCACAATTGGTTTATGTCCTCGTACTGAAGATTGATTGTAAATTGTTTTACGTCCCTTTCAAATTTTTCACTCATATAGAGACATTACCTTATATTGGTGAAGGGCTTCAAATATAGACCATTTCTCGGCACTCAGGGCCATTAAGCAGTGAGGAATCTTTATTGTACCAACGCCTGCTTTACACGATGCCTCGGTTTTAAGGTCTCATCCGAAAGACCTGCAACTTTCACTTCAAGGTACCGAGCGCTTGGCGAAAGTACAGTTGCTACCTATTTTTTTTTTTATCGACCTAGGTCAATCGGGGCCGAGGTTTGAACCCACCTTCCGATCACGGAGTTAGCGCTCTACCGACTGAGCTACCGTGACAGTCCGTGCTGAAGAACAAATTGTACCACATATTTAATGTGTGACGTAGCGTTGCCATGCTTTAGCAGAAATTTTCTTCGGGAGTACTTTCTAGCTTATGGAACGATTTCTTTCTGTAAAACCGATATCTAAGCAGAGTCACAAGATAAGGTCTGCCACCATGGTGTAGTCCGCTAAAAATATGCACAGAACCACCTCCTGACATCACGGTGCCATCAATACAGCCTTCCCTAAAGCGTTCACATCCTTGCCGCCGACTCGGACTCTTCCATCAGCTCTGTGCAGCGGAAATCTGGATTTATCTGTAAAGATGATGTCCCGCTAATACCAGTCTTACGACTGGGCCCAAAGAAAGCATCTCTGCTTTCTAAAATCATTCGACACAGGATGGTGCTGAGTCTGCAATCTCTAAAAAGACTACGTTTGAATAAGCATCTGTTAATTGTGGACCTAGAAATTCTTGTGTTTATTCTGTTTTGTCATTCATGTTTTTTAAAGAGGCTGGGGGGTTGTGGCCATTTTTAGACTATACTGATCTCCTTTAGAAGAAGAGCTCCATATGAAGATATAGAAAATGATCAAATTTTAAAACTAAAATTTTTGAAATTTTTCTTTGCCAAATGATAGTTGACAGCTTAAGATATCATATCTAAAAAATAAAGTTAAATCTGGTGGTTAATTTGTTGACCCCCCAGCCTCCTTAAAAGGTGGAGACAGACTTTATTTTGCTATCGCGACAAAGACGGTGACAATTACGCTCTTTCGTGGTCCTCCAGGTGATGCTTAAATCGGTCTCGCAATTTTGAGCTGATGTTCTCTCAGAGTCTACGTCAAACCTGCGCGGGGCAAAGCTACGGTTTGCCCTACTTTGTGTTTGCATTCCGGTACTCTTGCAGGCATCACATGTAAACCTACTTCATTTTTCAGAACATGAAGTACGGAATATCAGTACTGCTACAACATAATCTTGGAAGCATGCAATGTTATCCGTACGAAATACCCGCTGTAGAATAAACATGAAATCGATACACAAACATTATAATCACCTATTTGAGTCTTGGACAAAATTATTATTTACCTGTTTTTCATTTCATAAAACTTTTTATAAGTTTTGTAAGAAAAGAGTCATCAATTCTCAAATATTTACATCCACTGAATATTATTTCCTTTATTTCTTATAAAAACCATTGCTGTTAACCAGTCAATAAACAACACTAAGCAAGTCACCAGCACACATTTCTTAAGCAACGGCTGTTCCATCAATTATGCATACAATGACATATACATCTATTATATAATATTAAAAATATTTAATTTCTTTTGAATTTTTTTTTATAAAGATATAAATATAAACAATAAAATGTCTTTTAACGTCGCAGCTATTGCAGAAATTTTTTTTTACATAACCCGCTTACGCGGGTTATGTATTTTTTCTGCAACAGCTGCGACATTAATTCCCGTACTAACAACCAAAGAAAGCATTTTATTGGTTAAATTAATCAAAAAGATTCTTAATTATGACCAAGAGTACGAGGGTTGTTCGAAAAGTTCGTGGACTGATGCGATGAAATAAATATTATGTAGTCTATGCTTACAAAATTTTTAATGAACATAAAACAACAAAAGTTAAAGAAATGTTGAAAATTTTAGCTTGATACCTTGAATATTTACCAAATTATCATAAAATAAAAGAGACATTATATGATCACCCGGCGCTGTCGCCGTATAGTTTCATGACGTCATTGTTTTTCAATGTCCGTATTCTCTACCTCATACACTTATCTTGATGAGTTTCCTTGGAGTTAAGTAAAGATTTAAACCCGTCTTGTTTATATGATTTTACAATGTCATAAACAGCTGGTTTCAATGCATATAGTATTGTAAATAGATCTTAAAGATCCTCACTTGATTATAACAGCATATTTGCTTGTCGGAGTTCAACATCTATTACACATGATCAACGTCACTTTTCGACGTGACAAACTTTGAACACCCTAACTATAAATCGATATTAACTTTTACATCTGTTGTCTCTCTAATCTTTTTCGGCGTTTAAAAACAAGTATTCTGAATGCATTTTATTTTTCAGTAGCCCATTTAAATATTTCCTAGGTCTATGCCAGTTTTTCCTGAGGGCGAAACTTCATAGAATGTTGGAAAAAGAAACCCACCCCCTTTCTGACGTCATTACAACCCCATAATTGTTTGGACATTTCATATAAATTTTACGATAAAATTTCATAGAATTTACAGAATGGGGTAAAAATTGCAAATTTTACGGTACAGTTGTGTCATACCACATGAGTGAACGGGGTTTTTGAATGACAAATGCTCATATCAAAAAATGAGTTTTTTTCTCAGTTACTCTTTGGTAGAAAAAACGTTATCTTCGAGGTTGCGCCGCTTGGACATACCATTTGCTTTAAAAAACATCAACAATTTATTAAAAAATAAAACTAACGATGTATAGTTTATTATATAAACAAGTAAGATGATGATAATTAAACATTAAAGAATTCACTGATGTATCTTAAGCGGTTTTAATTTTATGGCGCTAGTCCACGAACTTTCCGAACAACCCTCGTATATAAGGATAATTATTAATTTACTATTGTAATGGATGTTATGAAAGCTTAGGCTTTAATTTGCTTCCTGAGCTTGAGCTTACCTACTGAATGTTCTGGTTTGTAATAAGATTGACATTTATTGTTTCAAGGCTTGTATTGTTATACGTATAAAATAACATAATCAAAAGCAGGCAAAACATGGTTGTCAATTTCTGTAAGGACTGAGACTCCATTTCCTTGGAAATTGTCATTGAAAATTAAATACATAAACTCAGTATTTACACCATCGTCGGATACCCACAGGTGATCTCGTCTTTTACTCATCACCCGGCAGGGTTGGCGAAAAAACGGGAAATACTCATATTTCCCAGGATAGTGGGAAATACTGGTAATTCCCGGGAATTACTGGTATTTCCTGGGAAATACTGGGAAATAAGAAATAGCAACATATATAGCCACATATTTCATAATTTTGATAATATATTTCTCAGGATATAGACATGTAGTACACGTTAATGGCTAAGATATCTACCTGGTATCACTGTCCCTGATTAAAAAAATTCTGGTTTCCTAATAATTCATATTTAATAATCACAACAAAGTATACTCATATACCAGCCATAAG